CTGATAAATATTATCTACTTTATATCATATTTATCAGTCCGAGCAGCGTTTATTAACTTATATACTACTTTGATCTGATCACGATGTGTACTATATACTAACTTTGACACGTTCCAATCATGCCAGCAATTACCTAGTTAGACCATAGTAGTGGATTTCCTGTACACGTTGATCTGCACAATAATCAGAATCGCCATCTGTGTTAATACGTGACACATACCTCGGGCATTCACGGCGTGACAATTTCACTCAAAAAATATGTGACACACACACACGCCAAATTGCACAATATTTTATACCACAGTCCCTCTATGAGGATAGAGGGACTGTGTTTATACATTCAAATACACATTTTGGACTAGCTGAAGCAAGAATGTATTTTAACAACATGTGTTCAATGATGTTTCTTCCTTAACAACCAATTTGTTGACGAGCACAGACATACAGCGACATGACGCAAAGACATAGTTGAAATAACTCCAAGCTGTCAATACCCAATAACACGTTTGATCAAAATAAAAACTTTCTGACCAGACAGGTAATACACCGTCGCCCTCTATAGACGAGGCCATTCTGTGACGTCAAAATAACGTTCAATCAATGCCGTTCAAGTGTTTGTGTGGCTATTCATCATCTATCATATTATAAACCTATAAAAAATATTTTGTATGGATGGAAGTCAATACCTCACAGAAAGGCTTCGTCACTAGTTGGCGCGCGACATATAGGAAAAATCTTTGCGGAAATTGCATTAGGATTGATAAGTCAGAGACGCGCAGTGACGTCATATATATGAATATTTGTTTCGCATTCGTTTTTATTATGAGGTAAAATTGTTTTTTTCTAGCGCAGTACACAAAGCAGCGAAGAAAGTTCCCTCTTTGGAATGCAATGCTGTATACTGTTCAGTGGGTGTCGAATGAGATGTAGATATAATGTGTATGTTTTTAAGACAATGCAGATAGAAATAATGTAAATGGTACAAACTATGCAATCGGACATCCAGTACATTTCTGAAAACGGCGATCAATGCACCTTACCGTGTTTGCGTCATTAAAAGCGCGTCTCCCAAATGTAAATACAAACGTCGTGTTGCCTGTGATAATATTCCGCTGTTTTTGTTTTGTACTGCCGTTAACTAAGTTCTGTTTCGAGCGCCCTCAGCGATCTGAGACTCTTTGTAGGCAGAGTTTGACGTGATTTGGTGTGTGTCGATTTATTCTCAACCGTGGACGTTATGGTAACGACTTCAAGCTCATTCTTTGACCCACCGCATCTCATGATAAAATGCTTTATTTAGTCTGAAAATATAACAAGAATGTAGTGCACTTATGCATTGCAAGTTTAATTATTTATTTTCATTTATTTATTTATCAAGTTGAAGCTCAATAATTATTTATATATATATATATATTATATATACATGCAGCACAGTGTATATAGGGCCGCTCATTTTGCGTCAAAGGTGACTGTGGTTGAACAAAAATGCGCCGATTAAACCACGGTTACTTGTAGCCGTCTAAGCCGTGGGTTAAACCACAGTCCCTCCAGTGATGGAGTGATTAAACGAGGACAATTTCAAACTATAGAGACAATGAATTGATCTAACACTTCCGGTCGTGTTCTCGCAATAAATGGGACAAGCTTTGTCCAGTTCAATTCAATAACTTAACAATAAAAGACCTATTTGTTATTACATTGTTCGCCATAAAGGTTGTCCGAATGAAAATTCAATATGGCGGATGTGCCATGACAACTCAAACAAACTCATGCATGCAATTACTAGGCAAATGACTTACTTTTGCGCTGAAAATTGGATATATTATCGGTGACTAGCTTTCCTGTGGATTATAAAATCGCAAACCCGTGTGAAATAGTCTCAGGTGTATGAAAAAATACGATTCGTTTGACTGACTTTATAACAGTGAACCAAATCGCAGTATAGCACGTAACGCATGTATACGTGCCAAACACTTTTTGGCCACTAAATCTGAACGACAGAATTTGATATTTACCTCTTCGTACTCGCCTTGCCCTTTCCTTAATTACTGACGTACATGAACTCAAGTTTACGTCGTTTCGAATAATATCAATGAAGTTGGCTAGTTCCTGAATAGCGTCCAAACCGGCGCAACCGGAACAATCTCCATTGCTTGTGTGAAAGATTAAATGAGTGTTATTAACCTTCACGTCAGAGTTCGGGGAATTCTCCACCTTTCTATCGAACAAAGGCACACAGAGAATCGAATCGTGTCACATTTGGTCTCAGCCGCGTTGTAACTCACCCACAGCCGCTTCAAGACTCTCTTCATCGAGAGCTTGCCACAACTCTGGGATCGGCTTTATTCACATTCCAACTGTTAGCCAATCATTACAGAGAAGTTTAAGAGCTCGAGGCGTGGCCTCCACACATATAGCCAATCACGCAAAGTATTCAACACGCCATAATGTCAGCAACTAGAATGCTATGCTATATTATTAATAATACAATAATTGACTTAGTCCTAGTAATCTCTTATTTTGAATATTGTCTATCTTAATAATACTTATTAACCTGGAATTGATAAACAAAATAAATTGTACTTTGTGTGGACAAGTGGGAGACAGTGAGCTTAGGTGCAACCAGAACTTCTTGGAAAGATTCAGTTTTTAAAGTCAATAACAACTTGAATATTCGTTGAATTTTCATTATTATTACAATGTACGCTCTTTATGCTATCTTTCTCACATGTTGAAACGTTGGTCACGTGGTCAATTAATTAACATAATAACTTCGTGGGAAATATAAAGTTCACAGGCAATAATCATAAATAGAATAGTATTGCCTTTGGCGGAAATGACCGACGATATGTCGTTGAGGGAGAGTAAGCCACGAGATTAGTTTTGTCCTTCACATAATGTTCCAATCTCCGCCAATATCGCATATACTGCTCCGAATGCCATAGTTACATAGACCAAAGAAACATCGGACACCATGACAGGAAAAAATGAAATAATATGTTAATGGTAAAAACAAGTCTCGTAGATATCTCGCCCTCAATGGGTGTTACCATTGTTCGATCTCCTTTCAACTTTTTGAAACACCTTTATTAATACAACATAATAATAATACATTTAAGAATAAATATACATCTTTACTGTACGAAATGTTTGAATGTAGTACTTCAACGACGTGATAAATTATAGACAAATAGTAAATTATATGTTATGTGATATAAAAATATGTGAAATTACACAGTGCAGATAGAAATGATCAACATAAAAATAAAATAATTCATTTGTCATAAAGATAGGCTATGTACCACAAAATAAAACTAAACTAAATATAAAAATCAAACGATATTTCAGCATACCTAGATATGATACATCTAATGAAAAGTGAAATAGAACTCTTATTCGATTATTAAATAACAAGAATACGATGACACACATAATTTGTATCATACCACATCAGAGCGCTATGAGAAACATTTGCCGTGGTGGTTTCTATTTATTTGGTTACAGATTTAGAGTGCCATAAAGAAAAAACAAATGAGCGTACCTTTGCTCTAATGTCTTAAGCTAAGTACTCTCTTGTGTAATTTATCTATAATATCTACATCACAAAGTGAAGTGAAAACAACATTACTATTAAAAATACAATTATTTTGCAACTGATAAAAGATATACTTAAGAAAATACTTTTTCTGATATGTTGTCATCAAATATGATGCAATTAAAATTATATTTTGAAACCATTGCTTATTTGTTTGTTTACAGTCTATAATACTGTATAATATGAAACATATGCAGCCAATCTAAAAGACGTACGCTTAAACACCCTCTGGAATTCCTTTTTTTATTAGATTTGCCTTTTTTCATTTTTTCCTGATGTCGTCCTGACTTATAATAATTAGCTGCGGGGGTTCCATGCCAGGAATAAATGAATGTATGAAAATTTAATTACGGACCAAAACTAATAAAAACACAAATAAACATTTCATATTTTGCGACACATGGAATGTGAAAATTACGTCACTTTTAACGATGAATATTTTTTCCAAACGATGGCCAGTAAACACTTATCCCAACCCTACATTAATCGTTACGGATGATTGCCATGCCGATTTCTAGAAAATAACGCACAATGCATCTTTGTTATTTGCTATAACTCTTGATAATGGTCTTCTTTAAAACTCAAAAATTCGAGACTCGCACGCCATTTTAGGCTATATACACATTTTTTGTTGCAAAAGTGAAAAACAAATCATGTTATGATCTGACTGGTGAGGTGTAATACATTACAGCGTATGTCTTTGAATTAAATATGATTATAATCACATAACTTCATTTTGCAATTGTTGACATTTCCTGTACGCTCGATTCATTGGTAGATACACGTTGCTGAAAGAAAACAGTTCTTAGATTGTTAGGGCAGTTATCCAAGTGAAATGTAACCACTGGACATATCGATACATGTGAATGTTTACTGAGGATCTGAATACCCTTAAAACGATAATGACCATCACAATCACCTTAAGATACTCCACCTGGGTCTTTAGTTTGATGATTTCAGCGTTGTACTTGACCAAGTCGTGCTCATTTTGGGTGACATCGCTCAAATTATTGGTAAAACGTGACGGCATGTCCTCAATACTGTTTTTATGTATCCCCCATATCTGTGAAACGAGCATAAGTCACGTGATAGTTAGTTATACTGAATAACAGGTGTAATGTACAATTATATGTCTGATCATTTTATTCTTTCATTTAAATCAAGCTTCAAGTATGAAGAATAACAGACACGTTATAAGTTGCGCCCTCTAGCGCTAAACGCGCGTGTGACGTAAACCAGCGTAACGATGACTGTTCACAACATCGATACCGATTTGATCTGCTATTTACAACTAGATGACAAACGACTGCATAGCCAAACTCAGTGGACGTTTTCGACATCGCTTTCACCTATTTACGTAATACTTAAGTCATAAAATTACTTCGTCGCCAGATAAACTTATATGGTGTGTTTCTAGTTGGTTTTGTAGTTTTAGCAGTGAAGCTGATCAAAAAATACTTTGTCACGAGAGAATCGTATATAGTGACTTATATTGAAGACTATTTGAATGTGGTGACCAAATTGGGCCACATGAATAAGAGTACTGTATTATAACAATCTGCGTAACGAACATGTGATTCAGGTTTTTTTTTTCATTTCATCATTGTTAGTTCAGTTTAGTTTAGGATAAATTGCAATCAGATTAAGTTCTCAACATGCAGTTTCAAATAAAAATATAAAAATTAATGGTTTCATCCAAATTATACTGTATATATATATATATTTCAATTCGCTTAATGTCAAATATCTGTCGGGGCTATTTTTTTTTTAAATAAAAGATTATATTAAAAACAATTAATAACACGACGCGCACACCACATGACACAATAATTTAAGGATAAAACTATTTTTAGGCACTTTTTGATTAAAACACACTTTCTAAAGTGTACACATCAATGTTATCAAGCTATGAGCTATTTCACCCTGTACCAATGCTGCAACTACTCTTGAGAACTATGCGTATTTGTTGTTTGTACGGCCAATCTAGTCCGGATAACACAAGCATTTTGATTCAGTACAGCGTAGATCAAGAGATAACACATAAAAAAGTATGTTTCTAGTCATTTTTTGTAGTTTTACCAGTTAAAAACACTAAAAACCATGGTGATAATACTTCCCTAATGAGAAATATGATTTTCATTGCTGTGTATTACTTGACACTAAACAAAAAATACTTAGAAATAGCTTCCACACACGATTGTTTTAAAATTGTTAAATACATTGCGTTTCTCCTAACAACGGTATCTGCGTTTTGACATCCTAAACAGACATACAGAAACGAATGCAACACTCACATAAATATGTATATTTATACAAAACATTCAAATCTCCAATTTTAACGATGAATATTGTTTCCAAACGATGGCCAGTAAACACTTATCCCGCCCCTACATTCATCGTTGTGAATGATTGCCATGCCGATTTCTAAAAAAAATGCTATAACAAGTTTTCATGAAAAGTTTAAATGTCACCGTTCTTTGAAAAACGGGTGGTTAAAAAGGTGCTTCCTAAAATGATTGAGATTCGATGCCCCATTATGCATTTTAATAAACTATGACATTTAAGTAAAATATCGCCGTTTGACTGAATGTCTCGTTAACAATTCATGACTCGGGGCAAGTAAACGTACAACAATGGCGCCCAAACCTGTAAACGTAATGTAGAGTTCAAAGCGTAGTTTCTAGATGGGCATTGAATATTCAGCATACAGGCTACTTCATGTAGTGAAGTTTATAAAATAATAAGTGAGTTCTTGCTCTGAAGTTCAAAGTCTAAATGTGTCTATTCCAGACTCGTAGCATTGGTGTCATATTAATTCAGCTTTGTGTGAGGGCGTTATCATATTTAACCACAAAATGTTTCAATGCTAGCCGTTCTCTCTGGAAAAACCCATGGTTTAATTGAGCGGATGAAATAAGACAAATGTACTATCGGTTGTCGCAAAGCGTGTGACATGTATAACCCATGTGCAATATCGTCAGTTATGCTTTCTTCCTTTTCAACTTTTTCCTTTGCGTTCAGGCATTTCCAGCTACAACACCATCTCTTATTCGCTACATCTTCTATGTGAAACTTTGATGCAGCTTTGACACGCGCGTACATCCTTTGCGGAACATGGTCCAAAACCATTTAATTCAGAGATCGCGTGCTACACCATTCCAATCCTGGCAATCCCTGTCTCTGTCCGTTGTTCAGTCACAGTTCTCCTTCTGATGAACCTGTTTGTCATACACCATCATCTACCGACAGTCTATCGTTTGCTATCATTGCTTAGTTTCACAGGCCTGGATCGAAACAGTTACTCCGGTCACAGTTTCTGTCTTGGGGCACTTCTTTCACACCAGAAGCGGAACTCAAGAACAATTACCACTACATTGATCTGCATAATACTCCGGATATTTCTATAATATATATAATATATAACAAAGCGTCGAATATAAAATGAATCACGTACCTTCGGTACAAACACCAATGCCAATGTAGTTGATGTACAAACAATAATACAGACAGCGACAATGCTATATCGTATATCAATCTGTTGCAAGTCAAGTACACTGGTTATAGTAACTCCTAATACAGACATCACCATAACATTGTATACACTAAATCCAATCTGTCTGGAGTCATTCAGTCCAGGAATCTCCACCTTTCGTGTTTCCCAAGCCAGAAAAATACCAAACAGTATCAATATACCTGCATTAAATATAGGAATAGCTATAGTTTTTCGTATTTTCCGTAGTATCGCTATCGTCATTTTGATAGTCAGGATAGCGTGGCAGGCAAGGAGGGTGCCTACCTGCAGTAACAGTGACATCACGTTAGTTTGCCTGCTACCCCATTAAACCAAAGTGACGAAAGAATAACAAGGATGTAACGTCTCATGTGCAATGTAACGAAAGACAAGTTACATCTCGCACAGCAATATAAATTACGAGTAAATTTTAAAATAAAAGCATGTATACAGAAGGCATATGAGCAGGATGACATGAATAAACTAGTAGATTTAATGCATAATTTGATACATAATATTGTTAAGAACTGGTTGACAGCTAACAGAACATGAGTAAATAACAATAATACGATAATGTTTCGTCGAACATATTAATAATCATTTCCTGCATTGCTTTGTATTGATTAATTTTTTAAATATTATTTCAGTTCTAGTTCATTTTGTCTACTAGTATGTATCTAGCTAATGTTTTAGTTTTATGTATATAGATATATTAGATATATATATATATATATGAGTAATGGTGTCTTGACAGCTTGCAACCCATTGTCTCAAAAACTTTAAACATATACATGGAAACCGTCCTTGCTTTCTTCAACATATGACGATCTTCTAAAATAAATGTAAATCATTTTTATTTTTTTAATTTGACCTATCAAGAAATACACAGATTTTGAAAACGTTTGGGATATCACATATGCGTATTGGGATTGGCATCATCAGTGTTCTGTCATATTTTGTGTTTACAGTCGACACGATGTTATGCATATTACATTCACTAATCAAACAGTATCCGGGTTTGTTTAATTTACTAATGTAGCCTGAAAAATAAAACTGTATATCTAAACAGTTTATTTCATTTATAAATTGAAATTACAATTTGAAGAACAAATAGTATCTAAGTCATATGAAATATGATTGAAAAAAAATAAGGATGTTCGTAACTTGATAACGTCCTCCAGACTGATGCTGTTCTCTCTCTGATCTGAATTAAAGAGACGTTTTAGTGGTTTTTTACCGAACATCCAAGACATGGAGTGACCACTCAACTGACTGAGCTAAGTCGGTGATTTGTGAGGAATAAAACCCGTGATAAGCTATGTATGTATCAGATTCAATTATGTTAATTATGTTAATTATGTTAATTATGTTAATTATGTTAATCACTTCAGCCAGACAATATATATTTTAAACAACAGTCGCCACTGATGAATCTCTCTATCGTGGCATGGTCTATTCCCAGCTTGATATGTTAAATATAAAAAATATTAAAAGCTGTAGCTTAAATTTCATTACAACATTCCATCACATTAGTTCTTAAGTTAAATACTGTGAGAATATTTCAAGTAACTCCATATTGGTTTCAATGACTTTTTCTTGTCTAGTATATATGATTCAGAATCTATATAAGAGTGTAGAAAGAATATGCTCCGTTTCGCAAACAGCGACGATTTCTATGCGATTTTAATTTATTCAGAGTTTATTTGGACTTTTCAATGAGATTGCGTAACAGTTTTGATGATACTCAGTCATGTATACTTAGGTAGGCATTATGAATTCTCTGTACTACAATTGACATTATTATGTTATTTACTCATCAGTGCGAGTCACGTGTATTGTATAGTTGGCTCTGTATTAGACATCATTTCCCTGTTTTTATTGTTCTTTATTTTATCTGCACTATTGTGTTTATTTTACAGTACGTACTATTTATTGAATTGAATATTTCAATACAAATTGCACTCACCCTTGTAGATATAAATGAACGCCATCCAATATGTAAAGTAGATGGAATCGCATAACAGCATCCTTGGTATTAACATTACGTCTTCTTCCACTGGGTGTTCCTGTGAACATAAACAACACAATAATTCAGAAACTGGCAACAGGTTTGCCAAATCCAATCGGTATATTTAATTGCTTCAAGTACAATTCATATTCAGCGGGAAGGCTCACCTGTGATGGAAATATGTGCTCACGCAAAATCAATGGATCAATAATCATCCACGTTACCAGAAGAACGCCATCTACGGCCAGCAAACCGAACACCATAGCAATCAGTTGACCATCTTTGACAACCTAAATTAACAATAAAATTGAAAATAGTGTGGAAAAACATTGCATTCCTAGAGGGTATGGTTTGATTGTAATCCCCATATTTAATGATTGCATACCTACGTAATCAACAAAATGCATCCGAATCATCGTGATTCGGCGTTTATAAACAACGCCACTAGCTACGGTTATTAATATATTTTATCACAATCATACTTTGCATAAATATTGCAGCGCCCCCTGGGGCACCATGTGGGAAATGTATTTATTCCACATATCATGACAATTCAGTGTCCAGCGTTTTAGCCGGCATCTGAAACATTCAACATATTTTTATATTTTTTTTTTCAAGAAATATTGTGTAAAACATTCACATCTTGAGACATAAGTAAATAACACTGAACAAGTGGCATGATGAATACTACGTCAAAGTAAAAATTAACTGCGTGCGTGACTCGCGTATCGCTATCTAATCGCCTAGCTTCGTGTCACGGAATTCTATCGGCCACGATACATTGGCATATTTTGTGATATGCATTCATGATGTTAAACGTCTGCTTGCTCAGATTGCCGGCACTGTTATTACATAGAACGGAGATATAGAACGTTATTACCTCCTTTATTACATTGACCATTTATATTGATTTATGATAATTTTCAAGGATTGTGAAACGCAAAAACGGTGTGATTGACTTTAACATTTGTAATTGTCTTACCAATACACCAGAAACCGTAATGCATCATGATGGCGACCGAGCAAGAACGCTCTACAATCTATGATATGTTTGCTTACAAAAACAATACATGGAATAAATAGAATATCAAATTCGTAACACCCTACAATATCATATTTATATGGCGAAGAACAAATGACAATTGATCCACTCGTTTAATAAATCTGATTTTGTAGGGTCAGTCTATGTGTCTCTTCAGTATTATTTCATCTGTGACTTTAAGAGGCGGACAACACGGTGTATCAGTGAAATATGTTTCTCTACCGCTGTCTAGATATCAGGAAACAAAATTAGAATTACCGCGTATCTCTCAGCTTTCCTCAAATGCTTTATACTTATATAAATCTTAATGAAACCCCTGGAGGAACTATTACGATATTCATTTCGCTGTTGTTATCAACCAACAAGTCAGCTAGAAATTATTTATTACGGTATCGATTTTTGTTTTTTTACCTTTCGCTCATATTTCTTGGTCGTGAATAATACATGGACTCTCCAGGTCTTGCTGAACATGCTCCCGAAGGCCAGCGTGAACGCAATAACCATTACCCAGATACGCAACTGCAGGAATAAAGCATAAAACTAAATGATTGAATTGACTACTATAGTATTAGTGTATTCTCTACTATATTGTCTGACTATATATACCCAACGGACGACTATTCTTTGTCACTGTATCCCTTTTATTGCTTCAAAAACAAAAGGAAATGAAACACAATAACCAAACAATAAAGCTGAAGTGAGTTAAAGCTAATACAAAATGATTGAAACAAATATTTAATTATATCTTATATTAAGAATACCAAACAAACAATATGACATGATAATGTTGTATGAGATGTTATTTGTAATTTAATATGCCATATCGTATGACATCGACAAAGCGGTGGACATCCTACGTTTCAATGTAAATTTCCCTGCCCTGCCCACCTACGTTTTTACACTACGGGGACCACGGTTCGAACGACGATTTGCAATTATATATTGTGACCAATATTTTTCAATAACAGTCGGATATCCTACGCATTTAAGGAACGCTGTAAATCCCCGAGAAGGCACCAATGCCCGAGGATGTACCTATTTAGGCACTTTTGTGGGAATGTTTTTGAACATATTTTGCTCAAGGCAGAATATATTCAGACACTTATTCGCTTGTACACTCGACTGCGATTCGTCATTGTTATTATCAAAACAAACCAATTTTTAATTTACATGTTTTACAACTATTTCATTGAGCAAAATACCAATCCAATCTGTTTACACAAATGTATCGATAATAAAAACAAAACAAAACAAAACAAAACTAATTTTTGATTAGCTAAAACTCGCAGCTTTCTGGAAATATCTAACATTACATCTTTATCGTCTATCGAATGATTTAAACCAATCAAATCCATGATCTCTCTGTTGTCTTAACATGATAAATACATTTGTTTATCATTGTTAACCTATACGCTGCTTATGAAGATTGATCATACTGGCCGAGTGAATCTAAAATCTGATTCTATGTAAAGAATAAAAAGTAATGGTCAATTTGAGAAACATTTTAACCTAATTATATGAGAGTCGTCACTCTGCTTTCGAGTTTAACATTTGAAATATACCATTATCCGAATTTGGCATGATGTTCATCACAACCTCACTCAGTTGTGGGCTTACTGTTTGAATGATAAACTGACATTTATAAGAATACATTTAATACGTTATGCAATCGCAAGTCGAGGAGATCACCATGTGACAGTCAAAAGTTAATCTTGATGACAGTATCAATGCATACTTACGCTGCACATTGTAAGTAATGAATTACCCTGGAATACGTTACTGTCAATGCCAAACATGACAACGGAAATATAAGTCAATACACAACCCAGTATCATGATGTTATTCAAGCGCGGTGACGACATTTTGATGAACCTGATTTAAGACAAATAGTGAAGCACACATTTATTCATTAGATATAGTACGATTCATTAGATACTAAAAACGACATATTACGAATCAGTACGGCGATAACAAGTGTCGGGGTTGTGTCGGTGTCCATAACGCCAACAATATTTTGGATGTCAGTCTTTTACTGAAGGTTGTCCATTGTACAACTTACTAAGAAAGAAATATACTCATACAGAACCAACTAATTTACACAACTCAAACAAATAAATTCAAGGGAAAAATTACACATGTCTCAAAATGAATGAACCAATATTTGTGTTTTAAGACATGGTCTACTGATGAAAATAATACATCACATTTTCAAATTTCTGAAATCTGTCGTACATAACGCATTGTAACTGGACAAAAATGTCGGGATCAGAAAAATCACTAATTACAACATTTGCATAAACATGAGTAATAATTATTCATCGTAGCGTCTTATGTAACACACGCATAATGGGAGTATCTTTCTGTATGTCAATTTCAGCGGTCCCCGGATGTTGAGCATTTATTATTTAGCGGCCTTGACCATAGATTACTAAGCGTCCGAAAAACTCACATAAATCCAAAACTAGTACGCCACATGCATGCCAATAAAACGGTATCAATTTATTTCAGTTTATTAAGCACAATTAATCACCTGTGACAATGGCCGTATTCTGCAGTTGGTGATACACCCCCGCCATTACTGACATCACGAGCCGAACCCAATGCGGCCGTCTTTATTAATACACTTTAACCAAGCCAAATGTCACACTATTCATTAATCGGAACGCATGTGTTGCAGTTTACTGTGCAATATATCGTATTAAAAAAACTGTAACGATTCACTTATTTGCATAAAGATAAAGAGTGGAGTTCCGGGATAAATGCACAAGCTTTACAATTGAATGATACAATCAATTTAACAAACATGCATATATCCAAGCCATAACATTTAACGCAGATAACTATTCTCGTTAATTTTATTAGGCGTTGATTAATAGAATCAGAGCCCGAATGTAAATTACACAATTGCTGCTCGCGACGCGCAATACATGCAATCACGCCCCAACTAGCTATCATATACGACAATGACTAAACACTCACGGCAAATAGGTCTTTGATAAATTTCCTGTGATGAGACACATCAAACTGTTACCATAGAAACATTTATCTTTCAAATATGAAAAATATATTGTTTTTTGTCTTGTTTTTTTCTGTGTAAACTCCTACCATCGTTGTTTACACACTTTTCAGTGTTCGGGGTAAAAGTAAATCATATGAATGTGTAAGGAATGTATAAAATCACCTTGGGTGTTGTATTTTCTTTTGACCAGAACACATATAATTTAATGTTGAATGTATAATTATGTTATCACACTCGAATTCATACCTGTGATAACGGTAGCGAATATTATACCACAAGAAGAATAAACATATGCAAATTCCCAGTAATGAGAGCGTTGTCATAGCAACATATACCCCACGTGTTATTCCGATGGTCACGCTTCGCTGTTCAACTGAGTCAATAGGTGGATCCCCTCCTGAAACAAATAACAGAGAAGTTATATTCAACAACTATGTACGGTGATTATTCAATTATTACCTTCTATATTTGTTATTAATCTCGGTTCTAATATATAACAATACTTGTATATACTTGTATACTTGTAATATAAAAAAAATGTATATCATGTTCTTGCAATGCATTCTTTGTGTGACGGCAATTCATTCATCGAGAGGATGCAATCAGCTTGTTACTCCTGCGACATAAACACATCTAGTACTATATTTTGTTAGCAGGGGGCAACTATATTGCTAATCAGGTCGTTACTCTGCATGGCACATCACAGAAGACAATTGAGTAGACATCTGACTACGTGATGGCATTATTGTTTGGTATGGGTTCATTTTCGAGCATTCAGAAAACATAGTAATATTGACGTAAATTTTAACATTAGTACATGTTGTAAAACTTTTCAATCTTTGGCCGTACGAGCAATATGTACGATACATCTATGTGACGTGAAAGGTTTGATTCTCCTATACCTAAATCCTTAATCTTAATCCTTAATCGAGGGCTTCACTGAATCAGCGTAAATTGTAATCTCCACTTCTAGACATTTCGTGTATGATTTTAATTATATGGTGTACTCTTATCGTAATAATAAAGATGCCAAGGCTTATGTGTCACGAATGCAACGTGACGAGGACACTGGCAAAGATATTTAATCGCAAATAATAGTTTGTATGTTACTCGAACTCGCGTGCCAGAAATGATTTTAAATATGCTGCTTAGACCCGTGACTCACAAGAAGGAAGACACTCGTGTTGACATATTTCTTTTGGAGTTCTAAGTGATTAGTTTACATCGATGCCCTATGCCATGTGTTTATGAAGTAAACACTTAGACATTTCGCAACTCTCTGAATATAGAAAAATCAAATATTGTTTGATTGCGAGCACTGAAGAAACCTACATGTTTACTTAGACACACTAATTAGATTCGAAAATGTGCCCACCTTTCCATCGTAAACGATGTTGACTGTCCCACTCTATAACATCATTATAATTATCATATACACCAACACGAATCATTTCCCCATCTACAATAAAAGGACCAGATTAATAAATACATACACAAATTAAAAGTGTATATCATTATATAATATTTTTCAGCAACGTGTCAATAAGTTTTATTAAAACTTATTCAGAGCATAAATTTATTCAACAATGAAGACAATGAAGTTATTGCTCAGATATCAGAAGAAAAACAAGTCCCGATTTAATAAAATCTGAATTGATTTTAAGATTTTAGGATGTTTTGAGAGAAAATAACAATTTTTATTGACCGCCGTTATAATGAAGCATGTTATAATATTTATTCTCTATTTGGACTGTTTTCCCGACTGAAATTTCAGATTTAACACTAAGGAATTTAACTTATAAATATTCCAGACTAAATGGGGAATTGATACAATCTGAAGCAGGCATTGCACTATAATTGATCTACGTTAAACTTTTTCGAAAAGTGTCTTATTGTAATAGATTGATGTTCATATCATATTAGTTACGCGCGTGAAAATCAGACACGTTGCAGCCATGACTTATATAACGAATAAACCATTTATTTATCTCACCTTGTATCTGATAAATAATGACACGTCCAAGTCGATCACCCTCTGGCGTGAAGTGCACAGGACCCTGAAATTTAAAGTAACCATTTCAGGAAAGAAATCAACACGGCAAATAGACAAAATTTTTTTCTGTTTTGTTACAGTTATTTCTTAACAACAATAAATGTTAATCACATTTTTGACTATGACACATACTTCGGAATATTAATGAAGCGAATTAAAAAAGAAAAATGTTTTGCACAATGATTAAGAATCTTCACCATAACATTTCGTCCAACGTGCCTTTTATAAATTATACCAATTTATGATTTTAAAATTCACTCCTTGAGTTACTGTCAAACGAATTTGGAATTTATACTAACGTTGCAACCACAGTAATATATCAATATATATATGTAATATATGGGATCAGACAGGATTTTAAAAACTGGATGGAAAAATGAAAAAAATAAACAATACGACACTAACTAACTAGCTGAAAGAGATACATGTTTTGCGTGATACTAGCGCGGACAAGTATCAGGTAACATGTTTCCATGGATAATTATGCAGTACCTTTAGTTTACGTATTTATTATTCCATCTATTGTACACCTTACTATCGTTTCTTTTATTCAGATGTTCATTATTTTTAATTCATTAAAGTTGAGTCATACTGATCGTATTGCTGTATATTGACATGTAGCGTGTATACTCATATGTTATATACCAGGGAATCGCAGCGAGATGCACGATCTTGTGTGTCAACAACATAATTTAGTCGAGCACAATTTCTGTAATTCTACGTCATTGTTGACAGAATATCACATGTAATTCAATTTACGTTACGTTACGTTACGTTACGTTACGTTAAACGACCTCCTGAGTATCGAGATTAAACCCTTCATGTTACCCATTTTTTGAGTGTTGATATTAGTATTCACGATGTTAACGTCTGATTAAAACTTCATATTGTCATGACATTTTTATTGGGGAAGACATGCTCAATTCTGCAACGAGAAATAACGGTTCACCTATTGTGATGTGTAATGACATATTCTGTGCATATATTTTCACAGACATTTTGTTGAACCTGATAATGTAATACATTCCTGATAATGTATTATTAACCAATAATGTAACACGAATTAACCGATATTGTGATAAAAACCGATAATGTAACAACTCGCTAGCAATAATGTAATAAAAAGGACAACCGATAATGTAACACAAAATAACCGATAGTGTAATAGATTTTTTTCAACTGATAACGTAACTGGGTGACATGTATAGCTGCAAACTTAAATCCATTGAAATTGTTCACATTTTCCAAAACGATATGCAATGTACTGTATTTTATATCCTCCCATCAAACAAATATTTTTTGTTTGGTTTTAGCTGCAATTTAATTAAAAAGAGTACTGAAATTTTCTTATACTATAGGATACATGTTTAGCATGTCCAGCTAATATTGACTGCACATCTTTGTGTTCAAATATTGCTGTCGGGGTTGCCATGAAGTTACGGCGAATCATGGGACCTTCCAAGACAATATAGAGGACCATATTTTGAGAGGGTGTAAAAAGTTGTTAAATTTTGTGAAATGGAAAATTATTAAAGGCCGATCATGCGAAACATGCCAAAATGAAACGCCACTGTAATAAAATATTTTCGTTATTCCCATGTTTCACAAACCCACGAGTAACCTGTATTCACGTCATTATCTTTGCAACATTTACCTTAGTAGGTTCAATAATTTCTGTAAACAAACTTATACCACCAACACTTATTGTTATGAAATAATTGATATCCACACGATAGGTGTGAATTTTACAATGACATAAAATTAATATGTCTTCTTAAGTCCATCTCGATAAACCTCCACTAATCTGGTTGAATGCACTGACATTGTATCTGCTGCTATTAACAACAAGCAGCAGGTAGATTCCATATATACTGCTTTAGACACTGTGTGCCAGCCACTGCTACTCCACAAGGCCTTTAAACTTGGTATTTGTGGTAGTTTACATATTATCATATTACATAAGTCATAGGCAGCAGAGAGTAGTTTTGAATGATCACGTCTCTGAATAGTTTCCCGCATTGTCTGGTGTACAACAGGAGTCACTCCTGGGGCCTTTGTTATTTGTTATGTATATTAATGACATCACCCACCTTGATATCTCTGCCAATCTTAGTATTTACGTTGACGATACCAAGCTTTATAAGTCTATCACATCTCCAACTGACAGTCACATTTTGCAAACTGATCTTAATAAGTTTGTAGAGTGGTGCGACCTTTGGAAAGTATCACTCAATTTAGAGAAGTGTAAATTTATTACCTTCACTCTTAAGAAAAAGCCTATTTCAAGCTATAAATATTCTATGGAAGGTATACCCTTGCAGCAAGTTTCCATCATTAAAGACTTGGGTATCCATAGCTTTAATGATATTTCTGCAATTATTTCTTTGTAGTTGTTTATGTCAGATCTATTCTTGAATATAACTCTGTGGTGTGATCCCCTCATCAAAAAGGACTTTCTAACAAAATTGAAAATGTGCAATTTAAATTTGTTTAATATTTATGTACTAAGTTGCGTGTGCATTGTAGTATTACATGTTATTCTATTTATTGCAAACTTTTTAACATCTCTCTTTTATCTAATAGGACAACTATTCTTGAATGTTAATTCTTCTTATGACTGCCCTGCTATTCTTGTCAATATTGACTTTTATGTTCCAAATATGTGTTTGAGACGCAAACCATTTTTTAAACCTGACTGTGGATCTGTCAACTGCAGGAAGCATTCGTCAATTTGTATGACATTATTTAATGACATTTCATTTAAATGTAATATTGATATTTTTTCATCTTTATATATATTTAAATCTGTGCTGTATAATTATTTTTAATTTAATCAGGGGTCGGGGTTATCTACTCGCGCGACCTTACTAGGGGTCCGGAGCATATTCCCCATTAACAATTTAGAAATCTAGACTTTCTGAAACGCTATTTCTTGCATTTTGAGGGGGAAAATTTAGGCTTGAATGTGGAGGAGCGACGCCCCCAACATTTTTTTTGAGGTGCGACCCCCCCCCCCCTAATGTGCCGCCGCCACTACTTTCACGTACTGAAGCTCGTATATTTTACAGAAGAAAGCCACGGGCCGAAACGTCAACCCTGGCCGAAACATCCGGGGGCCGAATCGTCCGGGCGAAAATGTTCGTCAACCCACAAAAGCAGTAATAATGTCTACGCTACACGAAGTACGGGCTAAGACATGTTTGCATATCGAATAGACCCAATTGCTTTCACGCACAAGAGGTGTCAGGGTTAAAAAGGAGCTATGGAATTCCAAAACTTTTGAAGAATATAACAAATCTTCAGTCATTTTAACTGTGATTACTCAGTACAGTAACCAGAAAGGTATGAGTTCAACGGTTATAAAACAATATCAAAGCAAATTCAGTAGCACGGAGTCTCATCGTCGGTTCATTTTTTTCCCCGAGAACAACATCTTTCGATGTGCTCGCGTTGATTGTCATGCCGGAAATGGCATACCGAAATGATTAGTTATTAATGTAATAGTGAATCTTCCAAATTAACATATAATGCAATGGCGTTCTGACCGCTTAGCGTATCTGGAGCGGGTCTTAAAACGGGAAAGATTTAATCTAAACTTGGCGATTCGTAGCCTTTGCTGAGCGTTCACGCACGTTTTCTTAACACGGGCTAAGGTATCTGCTCCCTAAGTCCGTGCTAACGAGCTGTGCGCGAATGTTAATATTGACTTGTTTCAAATAGAGAGTTTCCTGGTCGCCTACTAAATCACTTCCTGCTTCGCGAAAGGAATGACAAAAGAATCATATTTGTTGGACCGGCCGTCTCTAAACAGTAAATATCTTGCAAATATGTTATTACATTATCGGTTGCCGTCTTGTTACATTATCGGTTGAAAAAATATATTACATTATCAGTTATTTGGTGTTACATTATCGGTTGCCTTTTTTGTTACATTAATGGTTGCGAATTGTTACATTATCGGTTTTTATTACAATATCGAGTAAATCCTGTAAGTTACATTATCGGTTAATGATACATTATCGGTAATTATTACATTATCGGATCCAACGCCTTTCACGAATATCAACGAAATACAACAGATTCAATCTGAATTTATTACACAGTCGAAACTGCTGATACCGGAAATTGTTATATATTGAGAATTTGATGGCCGGCATCAATACGTCCGGCAGATTACAAAAATGTAAGACGGACGAGGGTTAAGTTTAAGGATCGTGTGGAAGACTGAATTCCTTATAATGAATATGAATATCTTCATAATAGATACCTATGATTTGAGTAACCCCACATATACTCGACCCCACAAAGCCAATGATGTGTCAGAAATTATCCAAGGAAGTACTGTTTTCAGGTCTTACACATGTTTATTAATATCTACCGATTTATAAAGTATGCATTGTATTTGCATGAGTTTGTGATTTTCACTCAAAGAAACAAAATAAGTATTTTCTTTCCAAATAAAACTGACTTAACATTCCGGTGATCAGTGAATATTATTGTCAAATATTTGCAAAAATAATGTTTCCTCTTTGTTTTGGCGTAGACGTTATTTCAGTTTATGTTATACTAAATTTTGTAAGACAACCTCACGTTTGTCGTGACACATACGACAGTACTTGCATACTACGCACAGTTACACAATCCTTTTTGTATGTGTATCATTGTATGAATACGTCATTTAGAATACAATGCGACAATGATTGGACAGTTGAACCTTTAATGACCCACCGACTGTAAAGATAACACAACTCTCCAACCAATCAATACACAATCAGATGTCGACGACCACCGCCCTTTAATGATACCCAAACTGCTGGAACAAACGTACTTGAGGTACATACCGTAACTCCAGTAAAACTCGTTTTCAGCATTTCGTCTTTAAACACTTGCATCATATTCGAGTCGTCATATGTGAAGTCTTCCAAGGTTTTATTCGGGGATAACTGATCAATAGAACCATTCAACGCCAGTGCCATGGCCCATATGGCGTCGTATGCACATGGCGCATACTCTGATGATAATGAAACATCTGCGTTGTACTTGTTGACTATTACATTGTTTAGCTCTGATTGGAACTCGCCTGGGGTCTATAGGAATTAATGCACAACTATCCGATGAAAAAATAACTACATGTTGAATCGCGCTGATTTAAAATTGATGGATTAAAACAAATGTGTCTATGTTTGTACAAATGAATACAACAAATGAAAAAGTAGCCCGTAAACACGATGCGCTCTTCGGAGTCCAAACACGATTCCCTGATTTCTTAAACAGACGAATGATTAAATTAAATGTATAATCAATACAGTTAAAATTTAAAAAAATGGCTTTGGGCGCAGTGTTAATTTGTTGAGAATCATAAAGAGACAGCAATTAGAGATATTTTAATATAATTATATGATATGTATTATTGTAACATACATGTCCCGATATAGTCTTCTCATTTTCGTTGCCATAGTATGAGTGGTCAGTTACGAAAGCCCCCTCTATGGCTTCTATGATTTCATCGTCAGTGCAACCGTAGTTTTCGGCACCGCTCATTAAGGTAATACTCTGTCCACCTGTCAGAAACCATTGGTATTTACGTCCATACATACCAGCTTTGTAAGCCTGTGTGTATTAAACGTATATTTCTATATTAGTTTAACCGATTATTCATGTATGCCCACAAAAGTTGATCAGTTATATGCTTCCCAGATGGGCGTTTTCACCACACGAAACTAATTCAATGTGTCGCAGTTATAATGATGTGAATTCAGGATCATCTTTAAAAATAATGACAGAATATATATCTTTATATATTATTGTAGTAAATTTCAACACTTATTTTGTTAAACCAAAATTAATTTCTTCTCAGAATTATGAGTATAGGGTATAGTCCAATACCTACCGTACATAAGACTTCGGTTCCATAATTCATTGATATAATGATTCTAGCATCCACTGCTTTCAGCTGTTTGAGTTGTTGTTCTGGGTTATTCCTGTACGTGGTTGAAGCTAGAACCGTTATATTTTCTACTTCAATCAGATCGTGGAAGTCTTGCATGACGCTGTTAAACAGGTCTTGATCATGCGCCAGCGTGCCAATTTCATCCCACCCGAAATGCCGCATTAGCGCCAGGCGGGCTGGATTGTTTGTTATATCTGACTGGACCGTGCGGAACAGAGATGGGTATTTAGATGTGTCTGAAAGACCAGCCGAAGTTACGCTGGGTGACACCTGCAATGTTAATGTACATAGCTTTCACAAAAAAAGTTGTTTTTACTTGACGCTTACAATGTGTTTTAGTTACTTATACAACTTATATAAAACATTTGTTTGGTTACTATGAACAATTGATATAAAATTTCGAAATCACCATCCAGTGTTCAATTATGATTATCAGTTTATTAGTTTATTTATTCATTAAATATTCCCTAAAACAGTCGCCGTAATCGTGTAATTTTGACTTTGTTAGATCAAAAGATATATAAGAACACGATAATAATTAAATCAAACTGCTTAAACACAATAATCATATTTTTGGCACTTGTTCCTTGAAAAACGTTGATACAATAACGTATACAAAAACGCTAGTGAACTCTAGATACTTAATTTAGAAATTCAAATATACCATAAATATAATAAACAAATACTCGATTCATGAATCATGAGTTCATTAATACGCTGTAAAACTCATTTCCAATCTGGACGATTTAGTGTTTATTCATTCACGTATGTGAATTCCAATCATACAAACCAAGATTACAGTATTTAACTGAATTTTGAATATATATATATATATAAACTATATAAACGTGTGCCGTGTAGGAAACATGTCACGCTGATTTAATGGCGCTCTCATTCACCAAATCTCCTAGAATATGTGAGTTATTGCCCTATAAACAAAGGAAATATGGACAATGAAAGTACTGCAAATAGTTGTCTGAGATGAAATCGAACCTAAAAACAATGCAAACAAAAGTCACAGCGGCATTATAGTGTCAAAGCATCGCGTGGGGTTCAAAAAACACGAATAATTTTTTTTTGTATTTACGCGCTCTATAATGTGCTATCTAAATTTAATGATGGTCAATTTTGGTAAAGTAAATTTATCTCAACGCAATAATCCTTTCTTGAAAGATATGTTTTTCTAGAATGAACTACAAAAAAAAGAAAATCAAATTATTAAATTGCGGCAGACGTTTAATCCTCGTTTTACACGCATTGCGCGAGACCTCGGCAGTGAACCAAACAAATCACCTTTTGCCTCTTTATGAGCTATGTGTCTTGTGGAACACAAAAATAACATTGATCAATAGCACTGGTATATAAACATATAAAAAAGAAATACTATTCAGTTATTATAATTTTCGACTGATGTCCATGCAGTCAAAGCGTGAGAACAACAGAGAGGACGCATGGTGCAACAGGGTCTTTTTGGAGCTCTCAAGTTCTTCATGATTTTCTTTGTCCCCAAACACTATACAGGTTTGAGCTGGCATATCCAAGAATTACCAGAGTTTGATATAGTGGGAGACTTGACAGTTTATAAGTAATTTGGTTGCATCTTGTGTGTTTTCTACTTTACCAATAGAATCACTTTACACAACCTCACCCAAGCAAGTAATGTAATGCCAAATACCAGTATTAGGAATAAGAATGATGAGCTAAGGGAAACGTTGGTCTGGAGCAAGAGGTAATTGACTCAAATAAATCCCACAATTAACTTTGAAGTAAGCGGGATTCCGGAAACACTCAATGAAAAAGAAAATACAGATAGCGCAATAGTTCTGAACCATATTACTGAAAATTAATCCAGAAATGAAATGAAATAGATATAACTCATCACATAGGTACAAGGAAATCAGGAACCATGACAACCCGAAGAGAGACAACAACCACGACCGCGGCCCATCATTGTGAGATTAACCACTCGAAGACGTCGTAACAGTATATACGACAAAAAGCGCAAACTTAGATATGGGATATGAACAAAGTAACAATACGAAACTTAACTCAAGACCAATGCAGCCAAAAAACGGCCAGGACATAAATGTATGTGGACATACAATAGGCGGATCTATGTGAAGAAATCACCTGCACACAATACAATAATTATAAATACAGAAGCCGACATCAGTAAGATTATATAATGTCATTGATTTATGTTTCTTCCTCTTAAATATTGGTTGAGCAATTTGTACATTCTCTTCAAATATGACTGCCAACCAAGAGATGAAAACACCTTATAAATTCCATTGCAAATCGTATTCCGTTAATGACTTCAATACAGAATTCCCAAAATCACCATCAGGCTCTCTCTTATATATTCAAATATCAGATCTTTGAAAACAAATATTGACCAATTAAATTTTTGTATGAAAATACTTTATAACCTAAATTTCAAATCATTTCATTGTCTGAAATATGGCAAGCGGGTGATTTATCCTATTTAAACATTCCTAATTATACTGTAGTAAAAAACAGTCGTACTACTCTTGGTGGAGGTGTGGCTGCATACATTCACAACACAACACAACACAACACAACACAATTCCAATTTTTAACAACAAGTAACATACATGAATCAGAATCTGTGTAGCTCGAAATACAATTATCAACTACCATTTTCACTTTCGGTATTGTTTACAGGCATCCTTGAGAATTACCTTATTAATTCACAATCAACTAAATCCAACTATATCCTCATTGGCGATTTCAATATCGATTATATTCAAGAAAACACCCTGAGTCAAAGTTATTTTGACACAATGTCAGCTCTTAATTTCAAACAACGCCCCCACCCGTATTACTTTTTTCTCAAATGTCTTTTACTATTTTGTTCCTTTACCTTTATTGAAAAGGGTGAACACTATGTACGCGACTTTTCCAGGTATGATATTAATGACTTCCATCATCAAGTAAACAACACAAATTGGGCAAATATTTCCACGGCTGATGTAGACACAGCTTATTTCACTGATTTTTTTAACAACGTTAGTGAAACGGAATAAAACACAAAAAACAAACACGGCTACAAAAATATTTTAACTTCTATTCTTCGAAAAGTAAAAAAATTGCATTTCTCTAAGCAAATCAATGCCAACAAAAACAATTCTAATAAACTATGGAAGATAATTAATGAAGTAACTGAAAAGGTGGCTGCTAGTATTGGCAAGTTGCCCAAACTTCTTGAAACTGATAATCCTAACAATCAATCTGAATATCTGCATGATCTCCAAAAAATAAATAATTATTCGCCAATATTGGAGAAGAACTTGCTAAGAAAATCACGAATTTTAAAGACCACCGCCAGCTATTTAAATTATAGTAATATTACATCATTTTTTCTTCATCCAGTTACAGAATATGATATGGAAACTGAATTACAATTATTAGATCCTCACAAATCATGCGGTAATGATTACATCTGCCTCGTTTGTTACCCAGTTTATAAAGAGACCCCTATGTCATATCACAAATCTCACAATTACAATCGGAGTCTTTCCCAGCCAATAAATAAAATTCGATATCTCGACTTCGGGAGTTTACTTCGTGTGGTGATTTGAATATCCGTAGTCTCAGTGCCAGGCGTTGCAGCGTGGCGTGCAACAGATTGGCAAACAACAATCCCGGAACAACTGTATTCTACACGAATTCGGGAGTTTACTTCGTGTGGTGATTCGAATATCCGTAGTCTCAGTGGCAGACGTTGCAGCGTGGCGTGCACTAGATTGGCAAACAACAGCGCAACATTATTTTAGGAGATATCTATTTTATTTTCAACATGTTTACTGACTAAAATGCTTTGAATGTCATATAGTTATTTTCCGACCTGAATGTATTCTGCCAGATTATTCAATCACGTCGCTGTTAAATTATAAATGCATAGTTCAGGCAGCACATTCAACAACCTATTTTCCGCTTCTTGTACACTCTTTCTTTCAGGGCCATATCTTCACTATGAACAGTGTGGGAGAGTTTGCACACACAAGCACACCTACATTGGACGAGTGAGCAAAACAGTCTACCGAATCGATATGGTTATAACATTGTATTTACAGATCATGGGTCGTATCGAAGTGCTCCTTTCAGTATTATCATGGACATCTACAAATCTCGCGAGACGTTAACACATTGCGTTAATTATATATTCATTGCACGTACAATGTCGGCTTGTACGTGGCTACGGCATGCTTCAAACCATGTAGTAATCACAATATTTTGTGATCAATGTTAATTTAGCAATGTTACAAATGAATGTATTTTTTAGAAAAAAGTTTTTGTCTCGCAATCACAATAATTCAGAGCTCATACCACTAATTGAATTTCCATAGACGACAATGTTAACATATGACGAGATTGCTATATGAAAATGATGAACAAAGTTGAAAACATTTCTCAAAAATGGGAAATCAACAAATCAACCACTTGAAAAAAACTAGCATGTTGGCCAGCTCGAACTCTTGCAAATCTCAGGTAAACAAGACACACCTACTGCATTTGGATTGCACCTAGATAAATCACCGGAAAAACATTAGATTAGAACATCCAAATACACACATAATAAACTCACAGGTACACAGTCGCTAAGTAGTAAACAAAAAACCACATGTTGGTCTCATCTTTGACCCAGGTGATCACGCCCTCAAACAAGGAGCACCTGAGAAAAAAATATCATTTGTTCTTGCAACTTGAAGGCATTTAAATTAAGTCATTGGTTGATTAGTGGCATGAGATCTTAACATACACTCTATTTACTGGGTTTAAAAAGTGTTATTAATAAAAAAAACACATGTAAAATACCTTTCTTAATTTTTCATGATTTTCTATATAAAATGCCGACTTTTATTGTTCGTACATCCATTGGCTGAGCTTTTGTTATCTGCAAAACATGTTGGAATATCTCCCGAAAGCTATAAAAATATGCACACTACGCACAAAACAATGGCATAAAACTAACTACTATGCTTCCTTCTTGTCTTGCCTTAGGAGTATGTGGTAGCGAAATTTGCATTCGGTTATTAACAAAGCAATAATGGATATCGACAGGGAAGACGTAGTGAATACATACATCGTATTTCAAATTACCTGCATCACTGTGGGCGTAATGAAAAACTCAAATGCAACTAAATAGTACGTAGTTAGTATTGGTGCTGTTTGATTAACGCAAACAGCGATTTTAGTTCCGTATATTTCAAACAATCACAATTAAACTTAAAATGCATACGCACATCGCCGGGAGAGATATAACATATTTTAAGGAGACACGTTTCAAGGTTTCTTTGAGTCAGAAGGGAGAGGGGTGGGAGTTGCAATTCATCTAACCATCTACAGCATGGATTTTATTGTATCGTGCCATCGAGTTCAGAAATGTTGACAGATGAACCAATATTCCACTAGCTAAGAGAATAAAATAGAAAAAAATCATCCCGGAATGGCACAAGAGTTTGTTAGCCTTAACGCATTCTACAGTCAATGTAAATGAACATAATTAATACAGTTGGAAAGTTTTAGGTTATGATTTGTGGAAAAAACACAGAAGTTAGACATACACGAAAATGAGAGCAACATTTGTATACACCAACATATTTATTTGATGCAATGCATTTAAAAATACATATACCCTCATCCGTGCAACGTAACGTGCATTATTTGCTCAATGTAACACGATTCGATACTTATCCCCACTTCAGATTCGACCAATTATGTAATCAAATGCTGATCTCGATACAACAACTGCTGACGCACCTTTCCAATGAATTGCACCATCTGTTGACATCGTCGTTAGACATTGTATCTTATCAAATCCCTTTTATAGAATTAAGCACGACCCGTAAACAAATATGCCATAAAAAAGAATATTCTAGGTTTGACATATTTGAAGACACATAATCTCGTAATCGAATATCCGGGCATTTTCACCGCCTGGCAACCATCACTGGGGAGATGAAAACTCCCAGAAAACTGTACACTGGAGCTACTTGTCGGGACTCATGCACAGTGTAATAAGATCCCCCTTACATGTGCAACATATATAAATTTAGTCGGCCTGGATTTTCTCATAGTTGAAATTGTGCTATTTTCTCTTCTTTAGTTTTTTTTTTTAACTGGCTCTTAACTGGCGTTCCACAGCAACTCGCGCAGAGCACATAGAAATAAGTACGCAGAAGTACGTAATTGGTAATTTGTCCAGGCAGATTGTTTGTTTACTTGGGTGCGTTGGCAATTATATCACATGTTCCATAGACCTTTTTTCTAAGGTTTATGCATGTACTAAAGCACCAATGTACTAGCTAGTAATAGTGTTAAATAACATGCAACAAAAGTTGATTGTAATAGTTTAATGGATTGTATGATTATTTTGTTGGTTTATTGTAATAGTTCAATCGATTGCCAGGGCACATATGCCATTATGGCATACATGGTACAGGGTACATGGTAGCCGTTATTGAACGCTGTCTTAGTCATTAGTCAGAATGCAATATTACAACATTTAGAAAAGCGCATGCAATAAACTCTCGATATATCCGCATAACATGTTGACATAGTGTACGTTCATACAAGTGTATATTAACATACCACGTAACTAGGGTGGTTCAAACATGAGAAAACAATCTATATGCAACCCGTATTTCGCACGTTTCGGCTCATTGATAGCAAGTCTGCTCGTTCTTAAAGCCGTGGTAACATGTACAAAGGCACAGCTTATTATATGTTGATTTGGCTAGTTTAAGCACGTGTAACATTCAAACAATGAACATAGATACTGTGGTACGTTATTCACTTATTGATAGACAATCAGTTATAGATGTGAAGTGTTGTACATTATTGAATCGAACTGGAAAGCGGACTCATGCAAAATCGAATATTACATGCAAATTCGTAATAGTTATTCGCGGAGGATAACCTTGACAAAGCCACTTGTGATGGTGCTTGGTGCATTTTTGAATACAATTCCACGTTGAATAAGCCTCTCTGGGAAAAAAACTCTTCACGTCTAAAAAGCGCAAATCTTATATCCTGAGCTTCGAATGTTATGCTATACACTGCTATGTACTTTTAAAATCTGGACATATTGAAGATACCGACAGGTTAAAATGACATCATACTAAAAAATCAACAATCGTAAAAAATCATAACCTGTAAAGTGAATTAACAACTTCAATACAAAAACAGACATTACACATTATAATACATAGATATGTGTGTTTCAACGCATGCATTAATAAAGTGATGTCAGCCACGTCGATGTTATTTTTGTATTCGGATCTATTGGCAAAAATTACCGTTCCCCTACTCATGCGCACCGAGTTGCAACAACAAAGATTTGCAGTAGTAAAAGAAAACTGTTGTAGATGCGCCCACGTCAACGTATACCATTACCGTAATTCCCGTTAATGTCACCGTAAAGGGCATTCATTATACCGGCAAACCTAACCCTACAGGACACATGCAACCTTAACAAATTACACACTCTAAAAACTTGGTATACCCTCAAGACTAATATAAAATCGAAGAAAGTAACTCCATACACCGAAATATGTAACGAGATATAGAAGAGGAAAATCTGTCATAAGTATTATTGTGTTTACGGTCATAATAATAAAAATAATGGAACTTAGATACTTTCAGGGCATACATAGAAATATTCATTATTTTCTTTTGGTGTTGTGACGCATGTACCATTCTTGATCTTCCATAATAGGAATTTATCTTGCGGATCACAAAATGGCCCTGTAAGCCAAATATATGCGCTTATATAGATTAGACTGCCAACATCATCCTGAATTGTTTCGAGTAATAATTTATTGCATTTTCAAACTCTGACCGCAGAATAAATGGTTAAGATTAGTTATAATTAGTTGCAAATATGTGATGCCTTTCTAAAAATAATTTTATTTAAAATCTGATGCATTCCATAAAAATGGTCTCATCACTTTATACACCAATAGTTGTTACAAACCGGGCACGAAACACGAAACAATTGTACAATGTGTAGAGACGAATACAGCGTTATCTAGAATCAATTTTAGCATTTCAGTAAGTTTGATTGCATCTTTATAACACTAACTTCCGTAGTTGTACGTATTGAAGTCATTTTAGAGTAGCGCAGTAATCGTTGCCTAGCTACTGGCAGTCATTATGCAGTTTTCCATACGACTTCATGTAATGGAATATTCGTTTTCAGATGGCAACATTATATATTACACCACTAGTCTAGGATAGTTTATACCCATAAACTAAAATAACCAATCATAAACCTGCAAAGATGCATATATAGGTGTGGAAATTAATATATCTCATTCGCCAATGGCTGCCGGAATTATGAATAATTTGAATAGTGACAATGAATTGTCTAGTCTTTTATGGATTCCTAAATTACACAATGCATGTCTTAATTAATTGCTAGCTCTTTCACATTTCACATTATGATACTATTTGTAGTAACAGATGGGCTGGCAATATATCATTATACTGTCTTTTCTAGGAGTGGTATCAATAAAAAGTGGTTATTGCGTAATTTCAAAGGGCTTCTGAATAGCTTAAAGTGCAATTCCAATGAGAGTCCGGATAGCGCAGATTGCAGCATTGCAGAAATTCAAACATTAGATTTTGTTACATTGTTCTTGGTTACAATACAACTTATTTGGTACATATATATTCCAACAAGTCATTGGTACTCCAATGGGTACAAATTGTACACCATTGCTAGCTGAAATGTTTTCTACATTGAAGCTTCCTTCAGTTTCACAAATACATATATATTTCCATGAACAATTCGAAGTTTAAAGATGCTATCCCAATGATTCACCCCTCAGAACTGGAAGTTAAAGATAAACTGAATCATTGGTCATGATATCTAGATATTTATTTGAATCGTGAAACTACTGGTCATCTTTCCATCTTTTTAATTTTGACATGATCATAAACTTCCCACCCCTTGACAGTAATATCTTTCCAGCCTCGTTACAGTCGAGCATATGCACCTTTTCTACAACGTCATCATGGCGTTATGTACACTTAATAATTACACCACGATGACATTGCTGAATGACATGAAGAGACATTTAAAACAGTTTCCTAGCGAATATTACTGTTGGATAAATACTCTGCTCCTATGTCACAAATGATCGCACTTATGTCACAGTGATGTCAATAATACAAACGGCTGTTGGTTGATTTATTTTCCAACAAGGTTATGTATTTACATAGTTGATTGATTCAATTCCAAACAAGTTAACAGGGGAAATATGTGGCTGGTGCCGCAGCGGACAGGAGCTGCTTACTGTTTTTGAAACAGCTGACATCACCTCTTGGCTGATTTCCGGGAGGTTTCTTGTTGTGTTCTGTTTGTTTCGTTTGTATTTTCGGAATTGAAAATATGATGTGAATTCTGATGTATTGGCGAGTATCCAAAATTAACGTGTATATCAAAATTCACCGATCAAATTGCTTGATAATGAAGCCCAGCACTGGACAATAAAACACGGAAAAGTATGAATTCTAAACAGATCAAAGTATGGATATATCGGGTAGTTGTTTTATATTAAGAATTTACATTTTGCAGGTAGCTCGTGTAATAGCGCAAAATTAGGCAACGTGGTCACGTGATACAGATACATTTGTTTGTATGTACATAATATAATGCTAACCTGAATTAAATTATAGTACGGTGCCGTTTGCGATATGACCTCCGCTATCCTAGACGATATAGGACCAAACACCATGTACTTCTGAGTTTCGTCAAATATATGCTCCACTAACAGCTTGTTGGCGAGACCAGCAGTCTGCAAGAAATGTATGCCCTAGTCAGTCACTTGATTGAGTAAGTATCATCGAATTGAATAAAATAAAAACTAGATTTGTGTGCCAAGATATGTCCACCAATTACCACCGGAAATTACCTCGTTATATGAAAGTAACGAATATGTATGTTCACTTTTATTAAGCGTGTACAACAGCCCAAAACGTGTATATTTCATTTAAAATGTACAAACACCCACAACATATGCGGGTTTAATAAAATCAGAGTTTCTGTAAAGATGCATACATTCGGCGACGTGATTTTCACACTCCGGGTGATATGTGTATTAATGCTTAATTGATTGATTGTGACGAAATCGCCTGCAATTGGTTAATGGTGGTATTGTATAGACGATAGAAGGGCCCTTGCAAACGTGGAGATTACTACAAATCCGGGAAAAACAATACAGTCCTCGCTCGGTAAATACCTGAGCATACAAATGAAAAACACACCTTTTGAGAGGGGCCAACAATATTGTACATGAACGGTCTATTCAAATGTTTCACCGAGTGGGTGATCTGGACAACAGAACTGCAGATGTCACATATAATAATGATTATAATCCGTGTTATGTACATGATGTGGTACAATATATTATCGTGTATTTATTTTCACCAGTACATATCCTACATTGAAAATTGAAAGAAACAGACAATCTTTAAATATATTTAAATGAACAAACGTGCATGATATCACACAGCTACACACAATCCATGTGTGCATTTCAGTCAAACAGATATATACGGCACGTCACACAACTGCTGTTTACATGTCATATTGTGAATGTTTTACCGAGAGCGGATTGAAAAGTCACAGAATCGTGCCGGCCAGCTCGATTATGTCATTGCGCCTTAATGAATATCACATACATATTCAATCATATTTTGTCCATTGTACATGTCGTAAAATGAACAAAACAAAATCATTCATAGAAAATGTTATGAACAATATTCATTGGTTTTAATGACCGACGAGTCTGATTGTTACTGTTTATCGCTTGTTTTAGTTACTTGATTGATCTGATGCATTCAAAACATTCTTCACAACTTTTACCTTTGTTGAATACATCAGTAAATGTATTTCTAAACACGTCCTCGTATCACGATGCTGTCGCGATAATGAATACATCACGATTATATTATGTTTTATACAAAAAGCTGTATATTAAAGGCATCGGGATTAAACTTGTATCAGTACATCGACATCGTAGACAAAAATTGAAAATGCATCAATAATTAGGAAAATGTATTGAATAGACATCGCAACATGAACAGTTTATTGAGATACAATGTTGTATTATACATGTACACTGCATTGTGATGTAGCCTTGTCGGATGACTGACACATATACAACTATCATTTACGCATTCACTATAAACTTATACCGAAATGAGATGATGCTAGTTAACACACAGTAAAGATTGGTCCTACTGCCAATTTTTTAGCCGACACTGGATTTTAAGTCTACATAAAATGTTTTGATGGATTTTGTTTTCTGAAAGTTGGTGATATTTTTTCCTAATTTGCATACATATGAAATAGCTGTCACAATACTATTAAACGGCATATTTCCACATCTAATTGAAATATTTGTTTAAGTGATTTAAAAAGCAACATTTTGTTTAACGCACTGAAATGTCAAATGAACCAATCGTACATTGACTGAAGCCAGAGAAAATGTAGCTGCGAAATTCAGCATATTGGTAACATAACATCATGTCTCCGCTGTTAGCTGCCCATACAAAACGATATACGCACACAGTTGCTTGAGTTAATCTACATTGCCTCAAAAATAGTTTCATATCGTATATAAAATGTGTTTGTTGTCGCTCGCTCTCCGTACGATGGAAAACAAATTAACAGTGACGCAACGTGCAAGTATTGAGCATTGCAATCTAAAAATTATTAAAAAATGTTGTTGTTGTTTTGGTGTTGAAATTATACTGTAAATAAATGCATTGAAACGCATATAAAATAAAACCATATTTTCCGAATCTAATTAATATTGTGAAAAGATTAAATAACACATCAAACTGAGAAGACAGAAACGTGTTACACTTTTATGTCAGTATTTGGGAGTTTTTCTGTTAAGCGTCAAACGTACCGCAATGTGTTAGTTATAAAATCGCGTTTACAATCCCTGTGTGCCAAATATCGAGTCACGTATGCCATCTTCAAACGCATACTCACTCAAACTAGAACTGAGTTTTGATTCAGTTCACATAAACCAGTATTTACTTATTGAGTAAATGTAGAATTTGAATTCCACTTATGCCTGTGTATAAAAGTCGGGTATATATATATTTGCAGACATCAAAGACATTTCGAGTTTTCCGATCCCAATGACACATGAAGATAATTGCATGTAATATTGTGTAATGTCATAACCTCTACAACACACAAAAGTAAAGAACAGAATAGGTACAATACCGCGATGAGCAGACAATGTATTTACTCAGCACGAAAACCCGCGATGATTTATTGTTGAAAACGATATTAAGGAATATTAATTGACATTAAGGAACATTATTAACAGGTCGTAAACTCTCAATAATTGCGTTTACTGTTAAATAAATAATAAACAAATTTTAACTAATTCCTTCATAAAAATTTCTACAAATCATTTCACCGAATTTTGTTATAAATTAATTTTAACTCCCTTATAAAATACTTTCAATAAATCTTGTTATTTTCTTATAAAACATTTTCAACAAATTTCGTACTAAAATAAGTTCAAACACATCCCGTTACAAAATACGTTTCAACCATGACATAATACAGTAGTAATAGTATGAAAATTAGATGAAACTTGTAAATGAAATATCTGCTTTTTTAAGTCAACGATGATGCATACTACAATTTCTAAGAAATATCTGAGACTTAAGGTAGCGGGACTATTATTTGCATACTTGTTTTCATCTTCTAATTGTGACTAAATGACTACAAATAGACCCGGGAAAGTATATATTTTTAGAATCGCCAGACTTCAAGCTTTTCACAAGTGTATTTTGCATGCCCGTATCTGCATTCTACGACGCGTTACTCAATCAATCAACTCGTTGGTAAATAATCGATGAAATAGTTTGTCTGGACACATTCAAGTTCCTCTCATTGTCACCTTAAAGCTGTGAAAATTTGGTGTTAATCCGACGAAAATAAGTATACGTTATTTTTGTTAAAGACCTTGTATTTTGAAAAACATAAACTCATAGAAAACGTCCATGAAGTAACAGCAAAGATTTTCAAGCTTGTTTATCGGCACAATCAATTTGTTTTCCCATCAAGGTCTGTTTTACCATGTGTAGGGGCATCCAAATGTGTAAGGCTATTAGAAACCAAAAAAAATAAAGGAATGGGATAGCTATAATTGGATAAATTCGTCATATGAAAACACCAAAATCAATGATTTTTTTCAGTGGCTGTGTGACCTTGTGTCTGACACATTCATATGCAAATGACTAATCTGTGAAACAAACAGGGGCGGAGACAAACTACTCATTGTGTGTCAGATAGCTACTGATAACACATCCTAACATTGCTTTGTCTTGAGTTTATCTTTGAAACTTATAGGCACACAGATTAAACCTGTGTTGTTGATTTTGGAAAACACTACTGAGGCTGCCTTGCTTCCCTTCAGAAAATCTACATTTTAACCAACTTACATGAAATTCTATGTTATGTTGATTTTATCATATGAAAGTTTATAGTGCATTTCATCAATTAATAAATAAATGTGAAAATCGTAATTTTCAACACAAATAATAGTCTCGCTACCTTAATATGAAATAATCAAATATAGAACATATGTAATAATAACAGAACCCTACAGGATGCAGTGTATCCTGTGGCCGTACAGCAGGATACGCCGCATCACAAGTGAAAATAACTTTCGTATGCAACAAAAGCCACAGGGAGGGTGTAGGGTTCTGTCATATTATTTTTTTTTGGAGAACGCAAATAGATAGAATGCAAATGAAAGGTATTTTTTTCTTGTGCACAAATTAATAGAATTATTTATTTGGTCACTGACTAGTGATTTGTTTTTTGAATATAGACAAAGACAGACATAACATTTGCCATGATATGGTCTGTAGCATCAGCAGGTTTAACGAGAACTTCACACACACCATAGTTTTGTTTGATGGCGATTCGTAGAAAGTAGTGTATCTGTAATCAAAAAAAAAACATACTCACCAGAAAAATCTATTGTCGGTACTATGGTCCTGTATTCGTCTCTGCGCACATAAACTGAGATCAAATGTATTCTCTGAGTTCGGAGACCATGAGAAATAGAAAGTGCCAGAATTGAGAAGTTTCCTGACTTCAGAGATTCTGTCCTCATCTTGTGGATCACCACGGAGTGAAAGGAAATTGGTTGCAGTGATACGAAAAACTTCACAGTCTCCAATCTTACCAATGGATGCACAACCAATGACCATCACTAGATACAAGACAATCTGGTCACCTATAAAGAGGGAAGAGAGGTTAAGACAATAATTACATGTGATGCAGTATATGCTGTCTTACTCCCATAATGTTTGCACACAATTTATTAAATTATTCACTCATTTTATTTACATTGATGCTTAATTTTGCTTACTTCTTGATGTAGTATCGAAAGTCAGTGACATTCACAAGGTTTTAGCGTCACAAATACATTCAAAACTATAATTATAAATCACGAAAAATGAATGGTAACCATATTAGCTCTATTAGTAACACATTAATTAATTAATTACATTAATTACACTTACGTAAATGACAGAGGTGAGTTCATGGTTAAAATAAGTCTTTTATTCAAGATGCGTTTCTAATAAAGCAAGTATGGTAACAGTACAACACCTCATTTTAGCCACCAAAACTCTCAATTTGAATAATTAATATGTTTTATGTTTAAGCTGAACAACTTTTCAAGAAATTTCCATATTTGTCTTGGTCAAAATATTGTAAAAGACCGAAAAGGTGCTCATGAAATTAGACAATGACAGTAGAAGAATGGGTCCTATTGGTAGGTGTGACACCGATGTTAACAATCAATTGTCAGTTAAAAGCCTTTGAAATCAGGTGTACAATAAGTGTGAGTTTTGTGCTGATCAGGTGTCACTAAAATGTTAATTTGTAAGAGTGGTGACGAGGGGTTAAAAAGATGATCAACACTAAAAAAAAGGTGAATACATTTTTTGGAATGGAAATTAAACAATGGCAAACATAAAAATATGCTAATATAGAAAAAGACCAGCATTGACAATGCACATTCCCTGTTCTATATGCCAAAACCATTATAAACGCGAACCCGAAGTGTGGGTTTAAATGGTTAAATTTGATTAAATAGTGCTCTAATGTGATCAGTAGTCAAATACTGTCTGAAAAACTATTCTCGGCGCATAGACAGAATTCAAAATAATATATTTAGGAGTTTGTTATCAATGTAAATTGAATAATTCTGACAACACTAAAATTAAAGTTGGGATCTCTCACTTTATATCACCTTTCAGTTATTGATATGGGTCTGCCCAACACATGTGAGTGGATCTAGACTTGTGATGCTTTCTGCAACAATCAAGCCAGCCAGTGCATGCCACTCCATCAACAGGGCTGGACCTTTTTTGTAAAATTGGAAACATGACTTTACGAGAAATGGATTAGTTGAAATCTGTCATCTGATATAAAACTAGAAATGTAAACCAGGTACCATTTGCCTGGCTATTTCAGTATTTGTCAAAACAAACCTGCTACAATTGTATCAGCCAAAACATACTGTAAAACCATTTATTCTCACTGACATTAATTTCATTACTATTTTGATGTTTTAAGCATATTCACTGTGTTTTATTGTTATTTTTCATGTTCACATAGATTCAATTTAGATTTTACTTATCAGCGAAAATAGCAAAATAAAAACTCGGTGGATAATTAATGCATTTACAGTAAATACATTGAGGGCTGTTATTCACTTGTTGCAGATTGAACAAATTTGAACTTGTACTACTGTAAAATCTGAAATGGTACAATGCAACAAAGGGGATGCGGCTTCTATTAGAGTATCCACACATGTAAGTTATGATTAATTTTTTGATCTAAATTGTTCAAAAAGAATGGGTGCTACTTCTATTCTTTCTATTCTAATACTTACCAACATTCAAGTTAAGAACACCAAGACAGCCATATCCATCCACAGCTTTGGAATAAAGTCTTTTTATTGCTTCTGTTTCTGGAACAGCTGATATGGAAAACAGAAAAGTATTCAACTTTTACTCAATTGTAATGAGAAGTGTACAGTAACCACATCATATGAGAACTAGAGAAGAATCATGGCATGATTGATTAACAATTAATGGTTTTCTTTTCAAATTATTTTTAATTTACTCCAAAGAAACCAACACTGAAGTACCCATCTAGCCTCAGTAAGTTGCAGTTTCGGCTATTTCTATCATGTTTTGCTGACAGTTTTGAAGTAAAAGAACTTTTGTTTCGTCGCATCATGTATTTAAATGGCTGGAGACAACATAACACCTACTGGCTGTCAATTACTGAGATTTAAAGAGTGACGAGGCCGGACTTGAGGTAACAACATGGGTATCAAGTCACAACTCCATGTACTTCTCAGCTGGTCCCCCTTTGATATAGCTCTATAAAATTTGCTATGAGTTAAATCCATGTGGACATGGACAGTGTGATGTTGTTCAATTAAAAAAACATACTATAAATAAATTCTTGTGTGTACACATGTATGTGCTTTTCATTCATTTTCAATGCAGAAACCCTTCTTCCACGAGGGTCCCCGATGAGCCACTACCCCTGCTAAGGCCTGATTTTTGCTTGGATCTCGACACCTGTGACTTAGCGAGGAGCAACTATACACTATAAAAATGCATGATATTAAGTGATGGAATGAGAGTAAAGAAAAATTAATAGAAATACTAATGATATCAATTTAATTTTGCAAAAGCCAAAATTTCATAAATTTTCATATTTTGTTGCAATGACAATTTCTTTCTCATGCAGTTTTGTCTCGTAAATCCTGAAATCATAAACAAATTCTAGCAGAAAAAATGAAAAGACCTTATAGTAGGTCCTTGTAGTTTGATTAGTAAAATTACAAGTAAATTAAATTGTAACCATGAGATCCCAAGTGAGGCTTACTAGTATACTGCCGCTGAGAGCTTTAAAATAAAGATAAAAACACAAAGTTTGTAAGTAGTTCTATGACATTCCTGAGATAGGAAGCCCAAATTGATGGTAAAATATGTTATCAACTATAAAGCATAAAGAGTATACAGTATATTTCTGTGAGGTTTTATCATTTAAGCAAAACTGCCTGACTACAAGGTTTTCTGAAATACCAAGAAACCAAACTTAAGTGTACAAGACGGCAAGATTATATGATCTTTTATTGTTTTCCCACATAGTAAAAATAATCTAAAGGTATGTTTTAAACAGTTTGTAAACATAGGAAGAAATTACACTATGCTTATTTACAAACAAATATTACATACTCTTATCGTACCCCGTAGATTTGAGTCACTGATTTACACCAATTTCCCCAAATTCGCCTAACTGTGACAATGCGTGAAATTACAATATACACCCTTGACCCGTGAAAGGATAGGACATTAATAGTTCATTGTATTTTTTACCAGTTTTTTGTTCACCATCTCTACTTTTTCAGAATCTTTGAAACCATACACACGTCGTAGAGTACGTGATCAACAGGAAGATGTGCGAAGCGATCCATTAACGTTAATCACGGGTAATGAATTTATCAAGTGTGATCGATTGGCACCGATTTGAAACATTGAATGTTACGTAAGACAAGTTACCTCACATTTTTGGGGGTTCGATTTAGAAAAAAAGAAAGAAATCCATACATAAATCATAGAATAACAATAATTATATTTATACAAGAGTCGAGACGCCCCCTGTCTTCCTCGATCGAGAGAAAGTCAGAAGGTCGTCCGATGCCGGTACTATATTGATCGCTTCTGGAAGAGAACGTTAACAGTCGGTGCTAAGACTAAAATTTCACTTACAGAGAACTGCCACAGCATTCGATTCAAAGAGCAACGTGTCTTCTTTATTTCTTGACTCTAAAATCACAGAGTAAGGCGGTGGTTCGAGTTTGTGGAACACTCGAAAGCTCTTGCTCAACGCCATCTTTTAGAGTTTCTTCTCTGGAAACTCCTACAAAAACCCCTTAGTTGAGTTACTTTTGTATCATATTATACTTAAAAGGGCATATTATGAAGTATTGTGCATTAATTTGCAAACTGTACATATCATGGTGAATAAATTACATATATTACTCTAGAAAGAAACTCACACAATTAAACAGATTGTCGCTTTTTGCAGTTTATATGATTATATTTATTTACTGAGAACAAATGGTAAGATGGGTGGTCTTAAACTCGTGCTACCGTTGAGGGCGTGTAACTGTGTAATTTAATTCACTCTCGCCTGTCAATCAAATGCATAAAACTGGGAAGTCATTCTAACAGACTGTCATTTCAGAAACTACCATTTCCAGGCACCCGTTTCGTTGTCACGCTAGTCGAACTATTTCTGGTTCCCTGTAATATATTACGAATTTCTTGTGCATAATTCTACCTGCCAACTTTGTGAATGAACCCAGCTTGAAGGGCCTGTAGATGACCTATGCACAGTATTATCTGCCAACTTATAGTAACCAAAGCCATATAAGGAAGTTGCTTTGGTGATTTGATTGAATGGACCAATCACGGAACGATATCCCTACCATATGATAGGCGGCAGCCAATCAACAAATGGAATTTTAAATCTTATAGTTCTTTGTTTTACGGTTTCAGTGATCGTTTCTTTACTACAGTTTAAACCTGTCGTACAACAGCATTATATATGTTTTCTCTAACTTGCAAGCATCAAAACATTACAAAAGTCACCGCATGTTCCTGATCCGTGCATTCAGGAGTCGTCTTGTTTTTGGAAGTGAGTTTGATCGCGCACAGAGGCTTCGTATTTTGGAAGCTCTACCTTGGAAACAGTGCGGATAACCACTACAGACGGGTTTAATTTCTACTACACCAGCGAGTACGTGCTTTTGTAAAATCATGGATTACTTCGATGGACATACAGAACTTTCTGTTGAGGACATATTTGAACACAATGTACGATCGGAAATGGACCAGCTGCTGAGCTCCACGGCAGAACGTTTCGTTACCCAATCTTCTGGAGGGGAAGGTATTAGTACATATACTGTACAGGGTAGCACGATAACTGAACAACCCCTACCCACAGATCTAGCCAATTTGAACTGGCTTCACGGGGTGGACATGACAGATTTTTCGCATATAAGTGCAGAAACATTTCAGAACCACAATTTACTTGTAGACCCACAAACTGCAGTGCCCATCAGGGACATGCAACAGCTCGCTAATCAAGTTCAGCAACAAGTCCAGAGTGGAGTGATGGAACTTCCAGAGGTATCCATCAGTAACATGCAAGACCAATTGCCTGCATATACGATAACCCAAACGATACCAGCGGCACAAAATTTGCAACAGGAACATCTTCAACCGACGATGCAGTATCGAACGACACCATCGCAACAGCAAAATATGCTGTTCACCAACGTTTCGACGTCGAAGTTGGCTCCGACGATTGTATCTGTGACAAGCACGGCAACGACGAGCCAGCTTGCACAACAACAGCCACGGCATCAACAGACGTTAAATGTTGGTAAAAATGACAAGAAAACAGCGGACAATAATCTAAATGCGGAAACTAAAGTGTATCCAAAACCAGCGTATTCGTATAGTTGTTTAATTGCGATGGCACTGAAAAACAGCAAAACGGGTTGTTTGCCGGTCAGCGAGATCTATCATTTTATGTGGTGAGTACGAGTGCTTTTAAAAATTAGTGTTTGTCAGTTTCGTCATTCAGTGTGAGCTTAGGAATTTCTATTGGCAACCGTCCCATTGTCCAGAACGCTCCACCAAATTTGCGATTACGGAGAAGTTAAAATCACATTTTCGAGAATATAAACGTCCAGTTGAGATATATAGCGTTCTATGCACATTTTAATGGATGTGTATGGATACAAAATGAAACAAATTGTACTAAATGTATGCAACATTGGTTGTTGTTTTTCCCGGTTGGTAAAGGGGTTGCAGCGAACAATGGCAGGCGGTTTTTACAAGTTTTTACATGCAAATTGGCTCTTTCATCAGTCAACATTTGTACAACCAGACGGGTGCACGAGTTCCGATGACCATTCTCAAAGCTGAGAAAAAAAGAATTGTAATAAAAAATAAAACATTTGCAATAAAGCAATGTACTGTTTTCTATAGCGGAGTATTTTACATGTTTTCGAAATAGAAACCAGTCTGTCGAAATATGAGTAGAGGTGTAAGGGTGTGGCTTATGGTTGGCCAGGTGCCTTTTGCTTAGACTAGGCTCTTCGTTAAACGTTCACACAGTGGGCGCCCGACTAGCAATGAAAAAAAAAAAAACAATTATCAAGTCAGCTTTTCAATTTTTGCGTGTTTTATCATGCACCTGAATCGAGGTTTAATTTTATTTTGGGGCAATTTGTTAATTTAGACAATATATCATGATCACATAATACTTTTCATTTCAGTGAAAACTTCCCATATTTCAAGACGGCTCCAGATGGGTGGAAGGTGTGTAATATTCTTCTTTTTTTTTATCAAGAAGAATTTGACATTTTTGTTTAAATGAAGGTTCCTTTATACGCATCAATGTCGTTGCTATGTTGTTACCAAAAACACTATACAAGATAGTCACAGTCACAGTTAATAATAAAAACTAAAAATACACATTTTTTATGGATATGCCATTCACAGTAAACTTGACCTTTAGTATGCAAATTAGATTTATATGAAGGATTTTTCATTCTCTCATGTTTTTCATTTAATTCGTTGAGTCATTGTTGCTGAAATAGTCATATATGGGTCATTGACAGTTCATGATACATTTTTTGTGTTATTTTCGTAACTGTGGTGGTGGTGGTGGGGGGGGGGGTATGAGTAGTGTAAGCCATGTGTTGAATAGTATTAAATCGTTTTGTGATTTTTTTAATGATGTCAAGTTTTTTTCATTTCTATTTATTTTGTTAACCTGAGATTCATGATAAATCATTCGAAATTTTTAAGATAAATTTACATTTTTTATCTGGATAACATATCTATTGTGTTGTTAACTTACTAAAAACTGACAACTAAATCAATACCACGCATTCATAAAATTAAAATTTAGCAGCCATTGTTAAACGTTCGAAATACTTATAATGTAGTGAATTAAAAAAATGATTATATGCCAATTAATTGTATAAATTATATTTTGATAAACCAATTTGATTTCATGAACACTAGAGTTGTTCTGTTATGACTTCAGCTTTACTTAGATATACCTTAATGTTTTTTTCCTACATCAGGTAATTTATTATGAAATTAAAGAATCGCACTAAATTGGTACTCATAATCCTTCTGTAAATTCAATTAATATAATAAATATCTTGTTTTCAGAACTCTGTGAGGCACAATCTGTCACTCAACAAATGCTTTGAGAAGATCGAGAAGCCACCAGGTGGTGGCAGCACCAGAAAAGGATGTTTGTGGGCGCTTAATCCCAATAAAGCTGCCAAAATGGATGATGAGATTCAGAAGTGGAGAAAGAAGGATCCTATTGCAATTAGGCGGAGTTCAGCAAAACCTGAAGAACTGGATCAGCTTGAGCGAGGTCGTGTACCATCACCGTCACCACCGCCACCACCCCAGCCAGTCCAAGCAGTTGACATCAAACCGATGGAAGATCATTACACAGCAAAGGCAGTCAGTGATGTATTATTCACTGGGGAAGCCCAGCTACTTGACGTTAATCTTGATCCACATCTTGCAGACATTTCACTGCAGGTAGGTTTCCATGGTGACAGTCTCAATATTTGTGTTAATATAATAACATGGAATTTGTGTGTAATTGTCTATTGTTGATTAAAAGTTAAAGGTGGCCAAGTAAAGATTTTTATTGTTTTTTTCTTCCATTAATATAAGTATCGCTGTAAATGTCTTTTTCTCTAATATTGGCCCAGCTATGTACAGTAGTTTGCATGTTGCATGAAACCCTGTCGTTGTGTGTTAATTGTTTGCTCTAAAACCCTTTTAGCATTACGTGTTGTCCTAATTCTGTGTTTTGTTTTTTCTTCTTTCTTTCATATATGTGTACAGACTGCTGGGCCAACTCCTACTACCACTTCCTCCTACTTGTCATCATATTCTCACTTCAGAAATTTTCATCCTTATATTCCCCAGCAATAAAATAGGTATTCAACATTTTTATTTTCATGTCTGTACCTATCAACTACCAAAAACAAAGCTACTTGCCAAAATAGTACAAATATGTCAATCATAGTGACACAGTTGTCAAGACCTGCCATGTTCTATAAGGGTTCCATACAATCGGGCATATTTAAAATACAAATTTCTAATACAAATGCAACACTTTTTTGAAGAGAATTACAATACAATCACATTTATTTTTGGTAATGAAAAGAAACTTTTCAAATTTCAAAATAAGAAATTGTTAATGATAGCAGTTGTGAAAAGGTGGCGGGTTGGTTTCCAGAATTAAAACATTGCTTATTTTTTTTGTACTTTTCCTTTTTTTTCTCTCTTCAGAATGGATTATGGGACGACTTCAGATTAGACGATTCGTTTAGTCTTGATTTACCAACCACAAACAGCAATTTAAGTTTCAGTACCAGCCCGTTGCATGATGCGTCCTCAGGTCAAGAGAAGCCGAACTATTCGTCCCTTGATGCGACTTCCCAGTATGCACAGTTTACAAGTCCAGGACCCAAAGCAGTGTCGGCGTTCATGTAATCGTAACTCGTTCATGACGATGATGTACCCCTTCCCTCACCTTGCAGTGACTTTAATGAAGTACAGTATATTTGCAATGTAAATCAGCCAAAGATATCGCTTTGTTGTAAGTTACGTAAATATTTTGGTGCTGTATTTTGATGACTTTTTTCATATACATGATATGATGTAAGTTAATCAGCCTACTTTGCAGGCTGCTCATCCCTAACATCCATAATAGTTTGATTTATGTTCATCACAGACTGTGGGTGAAACCATTATTATCTCCTTTTGAAGGGGAGTAAGATGGCATGTTGCAGGTGTGTTAAAGCATTCACCTTTTTTCAGGATCTCCAAAAGGTATCCTGAACAAAGAGAATAGAAGATAGTCTAAAGGAATTTAGTGTTAGATTTGTGTAGAAAAAGCTGTAAGCTTTTAAAAAAATGAGACAGAGTCCTTTTTGTACAGTTGTGTAAAATGTATAAGCTGAAAGCATGTTCATAGTTTTTTAACCAAAGCACTATTTTTTTTAAAATGTCTTGGTTTACTTTCAATATATTACAGTCTGTCCTTTTTGATTTTTTAAAACACTGAAATACACTTTTTTTAAAAAAAAACATATTTTCTATAGAGTTTGTCATTTTTTTATTTTTCAGTGCAATTTATTAATGTACAAAGTTTTATTTTTATCTTTTTTTTCGAAATCATTTCTTATTATACGTTAGTGAATAGATGAGAAGCTTCAGTTTAAAGGTGCATGTTTCTGTCTTTTCTGATCTGGGGTGAAATCACATCTGCTGTACTATCATCAATTTAGAAATTTACTCCTGAAAATGACATGACATTTGCACAGATTGCAATAATCATGGACTTAATTTTCTTCAATCAGTTCTTGTCTTCTTTTAAAATTCAAACTTCTCAATGGTGGCAACAAAAATCTTTTATTTGGCAATATCTAATATCATGGTGATTGAAAACAAGTGTGCTATGCAAAATTCAGACGCGTATTTTCCCTGCGTAGCGCCCTCTCAAGTCACTTTAGTTAAATTGACTGTGGGGGCGCTCTGCAGAACTTTTGTGAATATGTTGTATTTAAAGCAATAATTAAAACAATCACTGTACATACAAAAGATAAGAATGATTTTTAATATTTTCTGGGAATTTGAAATATATATAATGATACTGTACATAAGCAGACCCCCCCCCCCCCCCCACATATTTTTAAAAAGCATTTTACTTCCCAGCTTGTACCCATGTATACATTTCTGGTTTTAACAGAAATGCGACAATGAGCTTTTATCCAATAAAAACATTTTAAAATTATACATTTGTTTTATTACTTTATTAATGAGGGAACAATGAATTTTAAGCACTCGAAGCTCCTCTTGATTTGGAGTCAACTTGATGCATTATTCCAACAATATCAATGGCCTTTCAGTCCTCATTTGAAAACTGGTATATCGGACATGCCTGGTCTCACTTCAACACATGAAGAAAATGCCTAAATAGGTTATTCTGATAATCTGAAGAAGATAAAAGTGCTGGGTAATTTGCTTATGTATCTTATGTACATCTTATCAATCTATGCAAGTTTTGTAGATTCAACAACCAATCAAAACTTGTGTTACCGGTACATGTTACTCTTGAGTAAGACGTGCTCTAAATGGTCGGCAAATCCTCAGTAGAGGAGAGCTGCCTGAAAGTGTTTGTATAGTCCTTTGGTTGATCCAAAGGACACCGGGATAACAAGAAACCAACATTGTATTACCGGTATATGAAAAAAGAACAGATGCTATGGCCGAACCATGGCAGACTTTATCAGCAAATCATACTAAAACAGATATTCAAGTTGCAATAACTGTTTCAATTCATTCCATAGTTGGGAGACTGCTTGCAGATTGTAAATACTTTAATTGTGATAAAAATACGGATGCATAATAATATATATATACATGTATATACAATTTAAAAAATTCAAAATTTTTCACAAAATAAATGTATACACAAGCTGTATGTAGTGATAGACACAATGTTTGACAGAAAGTTATTAAATGCAAACTTTGGCAAAGGTGCAAGATATTTACATACATCCAACTCCTGCACCGAGTAGGCAATTACCCCTGGATAATTGCTTAGACACTCTGATGACCACTGTAGATGCAATAAAGTTACATCCCTGCCTATGTAACAGTTAATCAAAACAACCAAAAAAGGTTTCAGATGGGTTCAAATATTCATTGTTGTTATTGGACACTTAATTATTACATGCAGACATACCCGGTATGCTTGTTCGTGGAATAAATTCTATTTTGAATTTTTCACAAAAATAATAAACCTCATTGATACAATTATTTAAAAAAACACCTCTAACATAGAATTACCTAAAACACCCTTGCGAGAACAATTTAGTTTTGAATGCGGTTTCTGATTTTAAACTCATCATTGACTATACAATTGTTGCTATTGTGTGAAGATGACACTTGGAAGGAGATTATTCACCTCTTCTTAGGTGGAAATAGTTTGTGAACGATCACCATGGAAGTTGAACTAGCGAGAGCAATGATTCATGTGATTGTGAGGCATTTCCGTGTCTGGTGTTTTGATATTGGTTAATCAAGTGCTCAGGAAAGTGTCTGGAGATGTTGAAAAGTCCCTGTGCCTACCAGGTGCAGGACTATGCAAATATCTTGCGCCCACTGTAATTGTGCGATATCGTTTCAACAGAATTCTGTGAAGATTCTTTACATATATGTCAACAATTTTAAGCCACAAAACACAGCTTACCATATCTGCTCTATTAGGAGCGCATCTCATTATTATTTTGACCATAAACACAAGTCAATCACATAAGCTCATGTGCTACTAATAGAGCAAATACCCCGGTATAGTTTTGAATGGAATATTCTACTATTTACAAGGGTCAAAAGACATAGGGTTACTTGAATCTGACAGTGATAACTTGAGGAACAGGCGCAGGATCTGTTGGTTCCTTCTGCCTTCTCTCTTCTAGTTTGGGTACTTTGGACCAATCAAACACAGAGTATTGCATAACAGAACGGTTATTGGCTCTGGCAGTGACTGCATCATCAGGATTCTGTAAAGGAGGACTGAAAGAGAAAATAAAACACAATGACTTACAACTGAGGACATAATAGCATGGCTATTTTTTTGTACCGGCACATAATGACAGTAGGAATGCTTGTCATGCAAGAGTACCAAGGGTAGCACATGACTGTTCTGACTAGAATGCTTGTCATGCATACACATAATATAGGAGGACACACCCATATGTTCTTCACAGCTGTTAGTGCACAGTGACTGGTTGGCAAGAATCAACCATTTGCCCCCTAAAGTAAAAGAATGCATTGTTCACTACTGCTGTTACTAAATATCTATGCTGTATACATCATTATTAAATCTTGTAAATTGAGATTTGTTTTCAAAATGAACTAAAAAGAAAATACTGTAAAATACTTTATTTTTGCTCAGAATTAATTTTTGCTTTTTTCGCTGAAAAAATATCCAGCGAATATACCTTTTTTTCTATATTTTACATTCAACTCATCAAAAATCAGTGAAAATAAACTACATACAAAAAAATAGACTTTTAAGCGAAAATTAATTCTAGCCAAAATAAAGTATTTTACAGTACCGGTAGTAAAAATGACATTATGATGCATATGGGATATGTTTGCTATTTCTTGTTTTCTATTCTAAATCACCACATTTATTACTTTAACACTCAAATAAATCCAGAGAATGACCAGAATATACTTGTATGCATCTCAGATAAATAAAAGACACTTGATTATGAATAGTTCTGATCCATGCATGACATTTGTTATTAAACATGTACATATGCTAGTTTGTTAAAAAGTAAATAACGTCACAGTGCATCAGCCTTATAGATGCACCATGAGAGTAGTGACACGTTAGATGGAGTCAATAATAAAGTAGCAGTACACAAAACTTAAAGGATTATGGTCTTTGCACAGCGTGTATTCCAATTACATGTGAATATACAATATATTTTACACATGTTACGTACGCCACTATGCGTTCCATATCGAACATGAATGCTAGCTATCATTTCTCCTTTCAATTGTATTTTTAGGTACATGAGGTAACACTGTATTTGCCATTTATTATGTACTTACACACCTACCTTTCACTGTTTGTCCTACCCATATGAGTTATCAATAACAAAATCATGCAATACTTACCTATGGAAGTTATTTGCAACCAACTTTTTAGGGTCATAGATATGATTGTCTTCTACTACAGGTGTCGCACCTCTGATCGGGGGTCCCTCACATCTTCTACCAAATGCAATACTTTGTTTCAACACCTCCCTTTCTTGCTGATACAGTTGATTGGCTCTGTCTTGTTCATCCTTTAAAACCTCTGAAGATGAAATAATAAATATATAAGATATATACTGTAAAACATGTTGAAAAAGCGACATGCAAACTTAGCGAATTGTGGTAAAATGACGTAATAGCGAAATGTTGATTTAGCGAATCTCTCTTGTCATTGTTGTTTTCCTGTTTTCACAATACTTGTCTGTTGCATGCCAAAAACAAATGCGCAGTTATACTGTCAAGTGGAATGTGGAAGCACCCCAGATTTTTATGTTTCGGATTACTGTATACAAATCCCCAAGCTTTGGCCATTTTGAATTTATAATAAAGTCATTAGCGACATCTTGAATTGGCGATCAGTTCTCTCGCTAAATTTGCTAAAAAGACATGCTCGCGAAAAAGACATGTTTTACAGTATAACCAAGTGTTCTGAATATCACATATATTAATTAATGAATGTAAAATGTTCAAAGTTTTTGAGAGAAAAACTCTTAATACCGGTAGTAAGAAAAACTAGCAATGATCATTTCACTTGGGTCCTTTAGATCATAGTCAAATCTCAGCAATGCAGTATCTTTTGCATAATATAACTTAATTTATCACATTGGAAAAAACTATCGAAATTCAAAGATTTATTGTATCTTTGAGTACACTCACATTTGTTCATATGTCTAGATTGTCTAAGGGAACAGCATCACAATATTATTTAGAACTGCTATTACTGGAAATTTGAATCAAGCTTGCATACCATACTTTCTGACTGAAACTAGCAAAAGTAATTGCACATAATGATATGATGATCAGTGCATATACCAAACAAATGAGTGAATCCAACCATACCATGTACTTAAGTACGATAAGTCAATAACTTCATATAAAACAGGGATCCATACTAACCTGATCTGTCAAGCAGTTCTATTGATGGAACAAAGTGTATCACATACATTCTATATTCATGTTCTTGGGCTAACGGGTTGCTGAATAAATCTGCAATAGACAAGTACTATACTAATATAAAAACATGTTACAGACATAGAATATATACACTATTATATGTATATCATGCATATTTTCAACCAATCTAAAAATAATACTGGCTCTTAAAAAATTGTCCTCAATATCCCAGCTCGGTTATCTGGACCCTCCAATGATGGAATATGTCAACCAATCAGAAATGGCCTTACAAAACAGATTATTCTATGCACACTAATTGTAACAAAGGTCTTGATTGATGGATGATAAATATAATTTCAAATGCAATTCTCATGTGGAGCTTAGAGATACTAAGCTACTTCGACTTTAATGCGATTAGCTTTCACTCCGCGAATACTAAAGTGACAATATACTAGATATAATACCCTTGGGAGTGCCTACTTGTTGTACACTGAATAAATTCTGTATATTTGAATGTGAGTGATTGATTATACAAAGTATAATTGCCTTCACTCTTGCTAGCTGGGATTCCAATCTGATTATAATCACATCTTTTGTGTGGTATATACTGGGAATTGTATTCTTATTTCATTTTAACTATTTGTTATTATTTTGTACTTTTTACAATGACCAAAACCTAAAAAAAAAGAAAACTACCAGATATAAATAATAAATTAATCAAAGAAAGCTTAGAAGAATTTCTGTGCTGAGAATATTGGAAACATATTAAAAATGAATTAGGCTTCTAAACATGACTCTTGGCAACTAATAATTGTCTGCTATTCGGGAAGTACAACGTGAAAACAATGTGATCCACATTATTGAAGTTTATTATACACAAAATATATTTTTACATCCGTAGTTTTCAGTCTACTTTATTCCAGAGCACCTCTACCACAAGTTCAAATTAAATCTGATTTTTTGAGATATCAGAAATTGGCTAATAATAATTAGATAATCAAAATGCATGTTTTTCATTATTAAAGTAATCACGTCTGTGGATTACCCCAGAGCATCAATGAACCAAATTTCAATGAAATATGATGATTATGCACATTGTGTAAATTTGGCAAATTTTTTTCAAATTTCAATCCAAATCTAATTGTTCCCTGCAGACACTTATATACCAAGATTTATTGAAATGCATTGATGGAAAAGGTGAGAACTAGGCAAATAAGGTAATAAATATGCATGGATTTTAATGAAAAACTAATAAAGTCTGCACAATGTCACAGACCATCAATGTACCAAGTTTTATTGAAATGTGATTAGAACCTGAGATATGAATATGAAGTGTACCATACCTAACGCCTTTACTAACCCTAAGCTACACAAACTTGACTTAAGTTTGATTAAATATTAATATAAATTATGAAAAATAGTGAGGGTTGTCACATGGTAGGTTTGTTGTCACTTGGTAGGTGTAAAGTTAAATGTAAGTCATCAAAACGTTGATATGACAGAAGCACACATACACACACACTAACTGCAAAGACTCCTTAGTAGTGCATATGCTTATGTAAATCACAACAGAGCTATATTAGACAAAATAAGTCATAGCTTAATGATTCAGTGTACAACAAATAATTTAAGTGGTTTATAATATGAGCTTTATTGCAGATGTGATTCTATATAAGGTACACAATTTATGTTTAAAAAAATAATAATCAAGCCATTGAAAATGTCTCCGCTTGTACATGTACCTATATGACAAATGAACTGTCAGCATTAATGATTCTATATAAGGTACACAATTTATGTTTAAAAAAATAATAATCAAGCCATTGAAAATGTCTCCGCTTGTACATGTACCTATATGACAAATGAACTGTCAGCATTAATGATTCTATATAAGGTACACAATTTATGTTTAAAAAAATAATAATCAAGCCATTGAAATGTCTCCGCTTGTACATGTACCTATATGACAAATGAACTGTCAGCATTAATATGTTCCATTTTGTGCGAGTGCATTTCCTAGTTTTGGACAGCAAGATGACTTAAAAAGTTATGAGTCTTTAAAGACATATGTCTATGTTGGCAAAATGTAATAAAAAAATGGGTGTCCGTTGGCCATATTCTCTTTTCACTGTGAGATCTCATGTGAAAGACATGAATCCAACAAAAATAGAATGATTCGATTTTGAACTTAAATTTCTTTTTTATAGTTCAATGTCAAAATGCCCATCTTTCAGCAAGGAATGATGTTGAGATACCCTTACTTCATCAAAATTGAGCATCATCAAATGTGTACAGCATATAAACCATACAAATACCCCAAAAATAGTTTTGAGTCTGTCAATCCCAGACAATGTTTTGGTGCCACTAGAACGCTATGTTTTTACATTCTCTTTAATGCATAATGAAGGACCCTGCAGTGAATGAAAAAATAGTCTATTGAGACATGTTTGGTTCTAATTGGATAGTGGACAATCGACTTGTATCTTGCACTGCATAGTGCTCTATGTTGATGAATTGATAAAACCCGTCTTGTCATATATTTTGTTGTTGCGAGGTCTTGTATCAATTGTGTATCAAGATTGAAAAAACAACAGAACCCAATCCATAAACCAGTCCAGTCAGGGGCTAATCAAAGCCTAAAACTAAGATCATTAGATTGGGATTCTACATGTACTTAAGATTATATCACAGAAACAAAACTCGTACAAACTTACTGAGGACCTTGAGTGATTGCATAGCTTTGAATTCTTGAACTGTTTCTTCCAATTTTGTTAACTGATTTCTCTGTAACATCAATGTGTGAAGACTCGTAAGGTGTTTCAATGCCCCCGAGATATCAACCAGTTGGTTGTTTTCTAAATAAAGTTCTGCAAGTCTGTAGTTGAATTTTAGACAGTTTATCCTTCTTAGTTTATTGCCATTCAAATAAAGATTCTTTAACATTTTGAATCTTGACAAGTTTGTTACTGATTGTAGATCACTGTAAAATAAACATTAAGAGATTCTTATACACTAGTAATCAATAGAATACCGGTACCATGGTTTCTCTATTAGTAGCACATATGCACCATCATCCAATTCACAATTCACACATTCACCAATTCACACATGGCTGAAGCCATGGCCGATTCTATGAATCTGTGCATGATCATGTTAGAAAAAGCTGTATTTGACCTCAGTTAAAGTGAATGATTGGGTGTGCCTAGCAGCCAAGCAAATGTCCCATGGTACAATTGAATAGCATTATTTTGTCTGTTACAGTTAAGCTTTTTGAGAAACGTGTTTTAAACCCAGATTTTTTAAATAACTCAGAACAACAAAAAGTACTCCATCTTTAACAATATATGATTTTTTCAGTCTATGTCACCAGGCTAGATTTTGAGATATTGCATAATATCTCTGTCGTAGTGGTGGTGGTGTACAGTTTATGGCAAAAAATAAATAAATTCTGAGTATTTTAATTCATGAGTAGGCTTCTACCTTAAACCAATTTATTTTGCAGTCTTATATCACATGACAGCTTAACTGACATAAACATATGACTTTGTATTTGATATCCCATGGAAACATATCACAGCATATGACCATTTACCTTGGGAATGCATCAGAGCATGCGCCGTTGTGTTTTGATTTCGTCGAGAGTGAATACAGGTTTATAGTGAGAAATCTGCCAAGGTATAATGACGAGGTGATGGCCGAATAAACCTTGGCTGGTGAAGATGCACATGCACTTACATAGTAAAAATGTCAAAATAAGCCATATTTTTTAATTATGCAGTGACCATTAAATGCAATTTTTGGATAATATGTGCTTCTATTCCAACATTCACTTTCAAGATCTTGCAAAAACAATTTGCTTTTGAAAAAATAAGGTGGTGCGCGATTTTTTTTTTATAAAATATTATACGACATATAAATTTTGGAGGTTTTAATAATTTGTCAACAAATTGGCAAAATAAATGCAAAAAAAAAATCATCCTTTTTTTTTATGGTGGTAGGGCATGCTAACTAGAAACATTTTTTAGACCAAATAGAGATTAATACGGTACTGTACATTGTATTTAAATATTTTAACTTTTTTCGTTTTATCTAACTGCTGATATACATGTAATAAAATGTAATGACAATTCAGCATTTGTCTTGTATCCATTTATTATGGAAGTATTCATTATGGAATAGAAAAAAACAAACAGCTTGAGTGACAGAACAACCCACCATATCTTATTTTATTTTTCTTACCTATCGGCCAGATATAGTTGAGTCACGTCTATATCTTTCCTAATACCTTCATTTTCCATCTGTTCTTTTATTAACTAGGATAATAGGAAAAAAACATAAAAAAACATTAAATTTAAACATTTTTTATATTTATTATAGTAGCGATACCTACTTATTTCATAAAGCCCATTCCGCACTTGGCAAGGTGGTGCAAAATAGTGCAATATTTTCATGAATATTGTTCATAACAAGTCTTGGAAATACTACATCAATCCTTATTCCTTATTTCGAACTTGCATTTCCTAATATGGTAAAATGCAGATACCCAGGTCACATCATCATTCCTTATTTGGAACTTGCATTTCCTAATATGGTAAAATGCAGATACCCAGGTCACATCATCATTCCTTATTTGGAACTTGCATTTCTTAATATGGTAAAATGCAGATACACAGGTCACATCATCATATCATATTCATAATTTGCATTTCCTAATATGGTAAAAATGCAGATACCCAGGAGTTCTGTTACTGTGTTGGTCAGAGCAAGTTTAATTGACACACAAATGGGACTGACACAAAAATGTTCATGCGAGTAAATATTTCACATAATAGTACCAAGCCAATAATAATGATATGAGAATAATGAGTGGAACTCTAAAGTGTTAATATAGTTACTGAACCTCATCACATGCCCTTAACTCTTATCTGCCCTTGCTTAGTACCTAGATGATAATTGTACAGTAATATTATTATTACCAAATTTAAATAAATAATAGCATGTTGCGGCGAATTCTATGTGACAGGCAGTTTAGCTATCGAAATAGCTTTTTTAATAGATAATTCATTGATTTTTGTGAAACATGTCAGCAGCATTGTCCATGTCATGTCCACAGGCGCCTGTGATTATGTCGTTGACGTTAGTTTAATAATTACTCAAAATCACATTATGAAATAATAAAAATTAAACAAACAACAACTGGTAAATATCATACTAGGTGTATAGTGAATTCTGTCAATTAAAGGTTCCATGTATATTCCATGGATGACACAGTGACAACACTTAGAAAGAAATACCTTTTCCGATCGCATTTCTGTTGATGTTGATGTTGCTACGACCGCCATTTTGAATTTTATTAAAACGACGCTAACCGTAGCATTCGTAGCACATTTTTCGTAAATTAATACTCGTTACTGTCGATATTATGTAATATAAAATAAACAGTGACATTGTATATGATGCTAAAAAAAGAAATGAATCTAATTAGTGACTGATAGGAAAATATAATTAAAATATCGAACGAATTTGTTCTAGCAAATACATTGCCTCGTTGACAGCTCAATCATAACAAATAGCGCCCACTGTGTTCAATTTAATTAACAAGGCGAGATTTAGCAAAAATCAGCTACATTCACGTATCCATACTAGCCACTGTTATGGTATTCAAATTATAACAGCTCACACAAAAATGTATTTACACATGCAAATGAGGCGTTGGCGTTGGTGAGAATTGTCTATTCTAACGTAAATGACAAATTAAAAAAAAAATACTGTAGATATTGGTATGCGAACACGGTAAAGAACGACCAGTGAACGACTAAAGCTTTCAAACACTGCACTGGCAAATAGAAGTGAACTTGGGCGTTACCCACTTATAATGGGTACTATGGTTAAGACAAAATATGGCAAAATGAGTAGTAACTAACTGAACAAACTAAAAACTTGATTATGAGCACTATTTGCTATGATTGTATTAACATGTAATCACAGTCCCTAGAGTGATAGAGGAACTGTGATGTAATCTCAATGTTTGCAATATAGTGGGAATCAAACACTGTCTACATTTTACACAGTAATCATAGTAAATAGAGTTACATTATAACGGATTTGTACTTACCGAGGTTGATATTTCTGATGGAGGATCTTTTTATATATTTGCTCTAGTAATGATAAACTTATTTATCATAGTATCTTGACGAATATTATAGATTACTGTTAGTGTTTTTTTTATTTATTTACCAACTGTGTATTGTGTACATTTCAAATAAAGAAGCATATTCTTTGCCCAAATTATTCTTACCGGGTGGAGTGGTTCAGGATTTATAAAGCATGGTTACTATTTACACTGTAAGTCATGAAATATGAAATGTCCAAATTATGCCTAAATGTAACATCAAATCATTTTGTCATCTGAATATCATTAATAATCAAACAGAGATTATTGGTGCATTGTGCACAAATTCACAAGTTCAACGATTAAATATTTACAAATCGGGATAGTACTTAAATCAAGGATATCCCCCATCAGATGTGCGTACTGGTTCACATCGACCAAATCTCATCCTGGCACAAACCCATATCCGCATATTGGGACGGAGGAAACACGTACCTATTTTTCAACATTCTTATCCCCAGTTTTTCCGTGTGCCGCATTCGTGCATCATGGGATATTATTGTGGCAGTAACTTACTAGTAACACTCGTATTTGGAGATCGCAGATGCAATTAAATTATATATTCGTTTTGTTGTTTCGGCGCTGCATGAGTCTTGTCCGTTTTTGTCATTATATAAAATCTTTACAGTATTAGAATGCCAATGTCAAGCTCTCTATCAATAACTCGAGCTACCTGTATAACCACAGGGGTTCAAATATATATATTTTTAAAATAAGAAATTCATCGAAGTCAGGCAAAGTTTAACTATGTCTGTCAATAATATTTTGAAATTGAAGATGATTGATTTGTTTGGATTTCATGATTGATTTTGAGATTGGTCACGTAGTTTTATATATAGTTGTTTACTTTTACTGAAAATGGGAGCAGAAAGCTGTATACAATATGTGTTGCTGAATAACATCAAGCTTATAGCCTCGAATAATTGATAATCTTCTCGGGGATTGAATAAGTCGTCGACCATAGATTTCCTCTAATCATGATGGCTAATATCTGATATGAGTCGTGAATTAGTATCGTCGTAAAAACCAGGCCTTTTTGCGACATCTAATAATTACCGCACGACAGTTTGTAGTATAGCGGATAGTATACTACAGAGGGCGATAATGCGAATATCATACTAGTATGTGTCTTTATAGACCTTCTACAGAGGATTTACAAAATGTACGCATTGTGGCAAAAAAAGACATTATAAGGTGTCTAGCGCCATCTGTGGTGACATTTCCCGATCATCAGCTTGTCAATAGTTTAAAAATAACCTCTGTAAAAAAAAAATCATTTATTCGAGAAAGCTTGGAAAGAACTGCCCTAAGTATCTATGTACCAAGTTTCATTGAATTTGATGAGTGGTGACACTAGTGTTACGATTAAACATTGACTAATTAATAAGCAAATTAGATCTTTAATATACATGGATTTTAACCAAAAAATAATCAGGTCTGGTCACTAACCAAAAGCATCTATGTACTGAGTATTTCTGGTATATTAATGTAGTCCAATGCCCTCTTTAAGAGGGCGATAGTGAGTGGAATATACGACCTGAATCAATCTGAAAACGTGTAAGGAACTGTACTGAGATTTTAGTGCAATCACCAGGGTACGGTAACACTAATCTATACAACTGAATAGGAGAGGGAGTCGTAACATGTTCATGGGTGTGTGAATGCATTTTCAATCTTGACACATACCATCAAAAACCATCGCAACACCAATACATATTAAAAGTATCACAATACAACATATACATTTTGTATCACTTACTGTCACAGTCAAATCTACGTCGAAAATAATGTTATAACCTGCGCTGATGCAGATTAGTGAGATCAAAGTGTCTTGATTTAATCAAAAAACTTTAAAATAGCTACTTTGGTTGGGAAATGTATTGGGAACTCAAGCAATATAGTGAAGACCAACACGAAGCTGTCTTCACTATCAAATATGGTTTGTTTGAATTCAGTTTTTAAGTTTGATGCAGACTTTGAACAACAGCCTGACATTCTGGAAGAAGTCGTTATTTTAATGTTCATGATAATAACAGTTGAAACATATAGAAGTTGCAAACATTGAGGTAATAAGCAAGTGGAGTTATATATAATATTTAAAAGGGTTCAACTTCATTTCAGCTGATTTAGTTGATACAATGTGTGAGTCACAGTCCCTCCAGTCCCTCCACAGTTGAGGGACTGTGTGTGAGTGTATGATTTCAAGTGTTTCTTGAATTAGAATTAGAAGTGCTGGAATGACGTCACCAGAGGATGGACGCATGGTGGATGGACGAAATTGTATAACCCAAAAGGGCAGTTGAATACGGTTTCTCGCAAACTGGCTTTGTTGAATGGTAGAGTTGATGCCAATTTGAATGTTCTTTTCCGTGAAATATTTAAGTTGTATTGACCTTGTTGATAATGTAATATTATATGTGACATAATGATATATATGATTTGTAATATAAATTAGTTTTAATGTAATGTCAGTTTAATGTCGTGAACATTTAGTTTACTTATCATTTATTTATCTCGTACCGGTATGAGCGTTATTAATAAGGACGCGGTTAAAATTCACTGAGGTTGTTTAATGGCATTTATTAAACCGACAATTCATTAGCCAAGGAGGTGTTCAGCATATTTCGTGCAAATATGTTCGGAAGGTTGTACCTTTTTATGACTTTCGAAAAACACCAGCCACCCGGCGGTGGTTCAGTCCAGTTCCCGGCCATAGTCACAGTGCATATTCAAGGCAGACGACTGAATGTTGGTGTCCACGCAAACTATCGCCTTCTCTCACGGCTTTGTTACAGTTCAGAAAACTTTCTCTCCACGGCAATTTGCTGGAACGCTCAGTGCACTTTGAAATGTCAAAATGACACAAACTGACCACAGGACAACTGACCACCGCCCGCATGGAAAAAAGGAACCAACTGTGACGTATACCAGTAACTGACCTGACACTTTTTTGATGCAATCGACGAGATTTTGTTTTAAACACTGTTCTCATGGGACGAGGACACGGTTCAGACAATTGCCCCCGGGGTATAATGTCTGACAATATCGGTTTGTTATACTAACAGCTTATCATTACAGCACGAAATAGAAACTTTCTAGTACGAATACAACAACACAAAACAACAAACAACTTCTTGAAATTGTTAGTCGAATAATGTTGTTTTATTTGTTACAAAAAAAAAAAAAAAAAAAAAATAAATAAATAAATAAAAAAATTCCCTAGACAAATTATTTAAAGAATATAGTGGTATTTGTCGTTCATTCATGGGAGATAGTTAAACACAACGGCAAATGTCATATTCTGATAGTAGACAGAAAAAACAGCTTTATCAACCTTGGAAATCAATATTACAACTTGTTTTTTTTAAATTTAAAATGGGTGATCATACTGACAATTAAAAGTCACTTACGCTCTGGCAGCAAACTGGTATTCTCACTCACTAGTACAGATACAGTACTATTATTTTTATGATGGCCATGTACGCGAGCTCATCGTAATATTAGGCTATGGTATGACTTTATCCAGCGGAGAATACGGATTTAAACGCGGACATTTGTCTTGCTCGTGGTGTATTTCCTTTCATTGCCCACACGCGCAGATCAGCTGGTCGAATCAAAACAGTGACTTATGCCTGAGCAATGCTATATTTGGCATACGAAAAGAATCACAACTATTCGGGACCGGCGAGACCGTTTCGAGGTACCCATTTGACTATTATTATTCAATTGTCAAGATATTTTGGATTCAATACGAACATAATTAAGCGAACATGCTATTGCATTACACTGAGTACTAGTTATATGAAAAAAGGTGATCTAAAATAAGCAGTTGTATAAAAGTGGTTTTGAGAAACCGAACATCAAGCGTCCATGTTGTATGGGGGCGTCCTTCTTCCGAGTTGAGTCTTTACTTGAAGCTGGTGAGTGGGTTGTGTTGTAGAAGTCTCCCAGGAACTCACTCAGACGTGTACGATCGTCAGTAGATCTTTGCTCAGGAAGTTCAGTAACAGTTATGCTACAAGTCTGACAACATGCCTGTATTTCACACGAAGACGATCGAGAGTATTTTGGAGCCTGTCGCTTTGCAGGTAAGACAGAGCAGTCAGTCAGGGTTTTAACTGTGGTTCGATGACCGCCACGACTAATGATATGGACATTGAAAGGCTGGAGCATACTGTGTATATACGAGTGTCCTAAAATACCAAATGCGAGCTTTCTATTTTTATAAACCTAGATGTCAAAAAATGTAAATATTCCCAAAACAACTCGGACCTTCCGAAGTGAGCAGTCCTTGTGCGATCATCATTAATATTTGGTGTGCTTTTGTTAAAAGTTTGAGTCGTTGTGATGTTGATTTTCTCCACACCCAGGAACGAATGAATGAGATATGACCCCGAGCTCACTTTGCTGGGGATTGACAGTAAACAAAACGGTTAAGTCACTCGTAAACGTGTCTAACGAGTTCACAGTGTACTATAATAGAAGTTTTTCACACTAACTGTAAATGCTACAGTGACCGTGGATTTCGAAAATATTGTAAACATTTTATTAGTATGATGAGGTCATGGGTCAGTCTACATAACCACCATAACCCAGCATATAGCTAGCTTGTTTAGTCCCAAGTATCAAGATCCGGGGTGACTTCATGGAGCTAAAATTTTTTTTTTAAGCTTTAAAGTAACTGGTTACACTTGATAATACAAGTTGTGTGTCTTTATTTGATTTGATTCACATTTAGGCAAGTAACTATTTCCCCTACAAATTAAGAACACCCGTTCTGTACTAATATATATATTTTATAAACGTTGAGAAATTTCAAAGAGCCTTGACACACCCCTGTCACCATCTAGACATTGAGACTCACAGACTAAACCCCATGAAGGACACTAATAACCCTGTATCACAGTGGATTTGTATAACAATTCAGACTAAAATTAAACTAGAGAATTAACTTGTACAAAGCAAATGCATTTAATATTGCTGAGTTTTATTCAAATGCAAAAAAAAAAAGATGTTGTAATTCATGAGTAATGATGAATCCGAAAGTTGAAATATCCATCTTTCCTTCGAGAACGGCAGTAGTTTTGAATCTAGGTCATTTGTAAAATCAGCTTAGCCACACAGTTAAATCTTGTTGTTTATCTAACACAAAATACCAGAAATTCCATAGTTTTACCTTGTTGCTGGCGAGGATGACTTATGAAAAATTCTGCTAGCGAAATCCAAAAAGGATAACATTTTTCAAAATTTCAACCTATTGTTTCAAATCCCCTGTGTGAATAGGATAATAAAATCTCATGTCTTAGTAATGTACTCAACAATTATAAACATTAATTTCTTTACAGAATAGAAGGTCCCCTGAGAGGAGGGAGGGGGTCTCCCTTAGGTAACACTGCAGGCTTCTCTGCTGTGACTCATCACAGTTGCTATAACAATGCAGATGATTGATCCAGGAAGTTTTGGCTTCTCACTGACAGTGCTGAAATGGGTCACTTGTCAATTGCATTCTTAGTCTGGTATGTCCAATATCCTGTGACAGTATCCTCTATTGTAGAGTGACATAAACCCAGTGTTATTACCAGGCTAGGATTTAGTGATATTCGTACATTGGCAGACATACAACTCATAAATTGTACGGAAGATACCTGGGGTGTACACCCTGTAGATTTCCATGCATCTAGAGTACAGATATTTGTCTTCTTGACTGAGACTCAGAATTATATGCATACACATTATCTTTGAATATTTTCATAATATTAAAATTTCACATGGGAAGCCCAGAAAACTGAAAATAAAAAAATGTTCTTCTCAATTTGATTGCACATGCATTTTAATTAAATTAAATTTTAATTGAAATTGTCATTGAAATGGTGCTTTTATTTTGATTTTTTGTATGAATTCTTAAATTCTGATAAAAAACTGAAAAACAACAACTGACACTTGAATTTATTTGGTTCCTGAACTAACAGATAAATCCCGGTTTAAAATTTTTTTTTTTTACTCATTTTACGAAATCAACTGGGTTTGACTCGTTAAGTAATGAATGAAACACTAATGGGTCATATGGGTCTATGACCTGAGCTTGTGAAGTCCTGCTGGGATGGAGAATATAAATCTACATCTGTCAGTTATATGTCTTTTAGGTATTAATGACATCACACTTATATGACAAATTTTTGATGGTATAATTCAAAGGTAATTCCAGGCATTGTGTTTCCCCTGAGAAAGGAAGTCTTTCAATTACTTAGTGAAAGTTGCATAATTTCATATAAATACAAACACTACTTATTACTGCACCAAACTCAATTTGATGTAATTCAATATTTTAACCTGAAGCTGTATTGACTTATTTCTCACATTCTCATTGTATATTCAGTTTTGATCCTGCTTTAAAAATTAGTCTCTATGGTGATATTAAATAAATAATCCTGAGAATAATTACTTTTTAGCCGTATTCAGAATTTAAACCTTGCACATTTTCTTTTTCAAATTTATTATATTTTATTGTTCACAATATGCCTTAATCTTTTGTGTGTGAGAAATATTCTGCAGCATTTTTCGTGACATGTGAAATTCAAGAAAATTGTGACTAATAAAATCCAGTATTGTACCAGTATCACCAGTAATAGTTTTGAAAAGTAACCTGCTTCAGCGCTTTAAAGTGGTTCGATTATTTGCTAAATTATTTGAAAGATGTATGTACAAATGTAGGAAAAAGAGCCATGAAACAAATTGATTAGTTACACAGTTCATGTGTCTTGGAACCTGACTGATTTATTTTTTGTTTTGATAATCTAATATCTCATCATGCATTGGCACATGCTTAACACAACATACCTCGATAATGTATAATGTTTATATATAAGTTTGCTTGGATGTATTGACGATATTATGAGTTTTAAATTTTAAAAGGTAGGGGTCTAAACAGATGTATAGAAACACTTGAGTGTCAGGTGTGTGTCTGTAGGGAATTCGTCAAATCCAACATTTAAATATCAGTTAAAAAAATTGTATGTGTCATTGATAAAATTTGATGTCGTCATAGGATACTTGAGTCTCATTTGCAACCAAATCAATGAAAATGCTCAATAATTTGCAAATTTGTTGAACCTTTCATATCTTGCTAATACCATAATTTGGTGTATCCCACTTCAAAGACTACTAACAAAATATATCAGATAATACAACTTATAATAAATCATTCCACAGAGCAATCTTGTTACCGTGAACTTGACCTTGTTTTGACCCCTAAGTTAATAGTAAAGTTGCCAAGCAATATTAAACAGTGTAATTCAATAAGTACCCCTTAGCTACACCTCACTTTTAAAGCTGCCAAGTGTTCCCCTAGGACTTCTCCAAATTACATTTTTATTGAAGGATTTATTTCTCAATTATTTTTCCTCGTTGATTTGAATTATTAGAATATTTGACAATTGAGAAATAGGACACAACTTAACAATAAAACATTTTCAAGCATTTTAATTCTGTACAGCCTGTTGGCATTCAATATTTTTTGACATAGTTGTTAAATAAACTTAACACTTCCTGAAGCTTAAATTTATTGCGCTGACGTGTAAGAGAATTGCATCCTTGACTAACTCTGAATCACTTGGTAGCTGTGATGTTTGCTTTCTTCTACTCATATGTAAATTTCGTGATCAATTACCGTCAGTGACAAGTGGCCCAGTCTACTATGAATATTAACACTTAATGATTAACATTTACAATGTGGAGCTTACTACATTTATGTCATCAGTAATATCCTCCCGATTGGAATTTCCTGCTGCGTACTCTCAACATTAATTCTTCTCGTACTAAAGTTACCGCTCTTCTTACTTTAATATACATTGCGGCATGCCAGTGCTTAAATAAAAACTAATGAACATTTAACAATTTAAAAATAAATTCTCACTGATTCATGGTTTTACCTTTTGTGAAATAATTTCAATCATTGTAATTATGATTAAATTTTGATAGAATCATTCACAATTATAATGGTTTTATATTTTCTCTTTATTTATTATAAGATTTCATTTCATGGGTTATCTCGCTAGATATCTCCGATTTATGAGATGGTGCTTTAGGTCAAAGGTTATCCATGGTGATGCAGGATGGGTTTTAACATTTACACTCTACACATAGGTCATTACTTTCCGGTATAGCAGGAATGATGATAATCGTAAATAAATGGTAGCCATTGGAAATGTATGTATGTATGTATGTATGTATGTATGTACATATGTAAGCCTGTCTGATGCTATTTTTTCTGGATATATCCAGTGTCACGAACTGTAATATTTATATATTTATATTTCACAGAGTTGAAATAGAATGCACAGCAATGGTGTACAATTTCTGTATCCCACTTTTTTAAATCCCATGATGAAATTGAAAGTGTAATTTTTTGAAGACAAAAAACAGCCTCAAACATCGTAATCTATCATAGCCTTGAATTATTTGGTATTAAAGCCCAGTTACCTATACTGTACTCGTTGAAGCTTATGAAAAGGTTTCTTGTTAATCCAGAATAAAATTACAAAAGAACACATTCACCAAAGATTCATCATATTTCTCCAAGCAGTGAACTTTTTGACCTGTGTTGTACTTTTCACATGCCTTGGTGAAATCTACATTCTATTCACAATTACTTCCAATAAAGTCTGTGTACGCATGTATAATTTAAAGTCACTTATGTTGACTGTCATATGTAAATAATTATTCTAGATAACTTTTTATGAAAACAACTCTCAGCTTCTGTATTATAATTTTAAATGCAAGAAATAAATGATTTGATTACGCGTGTATACTGTAAACAGCATTAATTTTTAGAAAAAGAAGCCATTGTGTGTCAGGGAAAAATTGTAAAAGATTTCATGTCCTCGCAAATGCTGTAGAATTATTTGGATTATATAACGAATGTGTCTGATGTTGAAAATTTAACGGTCGTCAAAAATTAAATGATTTACAAATTTTGTCTTTCTGTGTTTATATTTTGATTATATAGCGAACGTCATGTCTGGTGTCGAATATTTAACGGTCGTCAAAAATTGAGCGATTTACAAATTCCGTGTTTCAGCCTATTAAACAA